CTGGCGTGGTTTCGAATCCCCGGTTGTACGTGGCAAGGAGTAGGGTCGCCTGTCCAACCTCGTGGGTTTTCTCCGGGTCCTCCTGTTTCCTCCCACTGCTAAAGACCCCTACGCGCAAGCGAATTATTGAAATAAAATTAAACCATGTGTTAGTCCCGAAATGACCTAGTTTGTGTCGAGTGGACGTTAAACCCCATCTCTCTCTCTCTTATTTACTTTTTTTGTGTATAAAAGGATCTTCGGTATCTTTTGTAGATTTATTTAAATCAAGGCCCCTGTTTTAAGTGAAATCTGATTATAATACAGATCTATATTTCGTTTCGTTTTTTTTTATATACCATGTGTTAATCCCGAAGTGACCTAGTTAAACCCTCTCTCTCTTTCTCTCTCAGAACAGTAGGACGTTAAACCCCATTTCATTTACATGTTACATGTTGTATGCACAAACTGGCAATCTCCATCTTAAATTACATCAGTTAAATAGTCAGAATGTTTGTGTGGTGTAGCCGAGCAAGTATGTTATCTCTGCAATTCTTGGGTTTGTTCGTGACAAGGAATAGGCTCACAATTTGTTGTAATGCTGGCCGAATGGTTAACATTGCGTGTTGTATCATAAGGTCTGTCATTGAGTCAATTGAACCATATGTTAGTCCCGAAATGACCTAATTTGTGTCGAGTGGATGTTAAACCCTTCTCTCTCTCTCTCTGTCTCTCTCTGTCTCTCTGTGTCTCTGTCTCTCTCTCAGTCTTCCCTGTTATAGAGCTGAAAAACATGTTATTGATGTTTATTACAATTTTAACGTCCAGTACAATACCTTTGATAATTGATCGAATTAAGATTGTTTACATTGGGAAGAGTTTTTAAAAAAAAATAGTAAAAACATGGCAAAAAAATCCCTTGTATATAAAGAGTGTCTCTTCAATACACGTTTATCACATCATTTTAAGGTAGCTAAGCTCTAACTCAATATCATCCAAAGTCTTCAACATTGAAAACACGAATTGTTTGTCAATTTAAATCAACATTGATATTGTGATCTTATGGGGGAAAGATGGGCTTCTGGGATCCAATATTTAAGACAAAATAAACATTTTACTATTTCAGCGCCATTTGTAACAAGGGACTAGAATAACGAGGCTAGATATATTCCACAAATCATGTCAAACTGTGACGCCATATTCTTGCCTGGAGAGCATGCGCAATAAATGCCATTGGTGTAGATTTAAATAACCAGACGCTAGAGATTGCCATTCGATTTAGACTTCTGGCGTATTTTGCCAAACATAACTGATTAGAAATTACAGTAATAATAGAAACGACTGAAAGTAAATCAGTTTATAAACATCTATTATTACATTATTAATATACGTTGCGACCACTTTGTGTCAATTTCTAGGTCCAGATTTAGACCTTTAGCTCCTTTAAATCCAGACTGTTTATATTATACACTAAATGCTAATCATCCGTCCGGGTCATATAATTATATTATTATGTCAGGTAGATGGTTTAGATTATCACCATGGTTGACAAAATGCGCCAGTAAAACCAATCTTTGCCCAGTAAACCTTACTGGTAGTCTATTTGATGGCGGCAATGATTGCCAACCGTTTCCAACATGTTAACTTGTTGAATCAATGATGTGAAAAATATGTATGTCCTGGTTTTGTTCATCAGTTAAAAGTATGTCTATATTTTGTTTTTGTTCCTATGTTGAAAGTATGTTTTGTTTTTGTTCCTATTTTAAAAGCATGTTTTGTTTTTGTTCATCTGTTAAACGTATATTTTAAAAATATGTCCTGTTTTTGTTCATCTGTTAAAAGTATGTTCTGGTTTTGTTCCTATGTTAAAAGTATGTTCTGGTTTTGTTCCTATGTTAAAAGTATGTTCTGGTTTTTTTCCCATGTTAAAAGTATGTTTTGTTTTTTGTTGATCTGTTAAAAGTATGTTCTGGTTTTGTTCCTATGTTAAAAGTATGTTCTGGTTTTGTTCCCATGTTAAAAGTATGTTTTGTTTTTTGTTGATCTGTTAAAAGTATGTTCTGGTTTTGTTCATTTGTTAAGATAATACCGTATCTTAAACAAATTGATTTAATTATATTGGGTATATTTTGATATGGCGTAACATTGACTCACTTGGTGATTAACCAGGAAGTTCCGGGTTCGACTCCAATGTTGAACGAGAAACTTTTGTGGGGTTGACAAAAAGGCGTCTTGTCGTTCATATGGGGTACAAAAGCGTAGAAAACCCCTTGAAAACCCCACTCATAGCACACTGCATGGCGTATGCACGTTTTATAAGCTCAATTGGTGCAGAAAAGTAGGACGTTAAACTCCCATTCTATTCATTTGATTTAAAAGTGCCGTCGTGTAGCGTGCTGGGTGTGTATGTGTTAAAAGGGCAATATAAGCTGCTAACCGAGTACATTGTAATAGAAACAATATTAGAGATATAGAGACAGACTGGAATGGATTTCTGTGATCGATGGACCTGTCAATAACCGTGTTGTTTTACTATATAGATTTCTTATCAACGTCTCTTAATGTTCTTTATATTGAGTCTAAATGACCGGTCCATTACGGACTCTTAATTATTATGACCAATATATTAGCCACTGTCCATATTGACGTCAAGGTCCACATACAAGTTTAGTTCATTTGATTAACTCATTAAGTGAACACAGTGTGATAAATGAAATGAAATGAAATAAGGGTTTAAAGTCCTACTGGTTTGCCCCGAACTGGGATAATGAAGACGGGCATACGCCATGCTATGAGGGAAAGTTTGCCCGGACAGCGGCACTACGGCCTTCTCTTATATCGAATTCCAACTGTCAAGGGATCTTTTACGTGCACGCCAATGTGTACACGGGACCTCGGTTTTTCGTCTCATCCGAATGACTAGACAGCTGTCCTTGTCAGGCCCTCCGTCCTGCATCAATGACAAGAGGGAACCACTCCGGAAAATCTGGATAACTTTCTCGGCCAATGCAGGGATCGAACACGCGACCTCCAGGCTAGCGAGCCAGCGTCTTACCCACTTAGCCACCGTGACCCCAACACAGTGTGATACACATTACAATAGATACTGTTTCAGAAGTGGTATAAGATGTTATATAAGGTTAAATATATCTGTGTTTCAGAATAAATCAGAAAGTTGTAAGCACATATTATTAGTTTTGTAAATATTACACCAATCCTTTACCACAGTTTGCAATTCCCTCACAATTTTAAAAGCATTTTTTTAAAACAACATACTCATTTAACCAAATAAAATAAAATAAAATAAAATAAAATAAAATAAAAACTTAAATAGATAATAACATTCATTGAATATAAGTAAAGGTTTAGACAAATAAATCAAATATTAATAAATTTGAACAAGTTTTAAAATCAAGATTTCCTCATGGATTTTCTGCGGGTCTTCCGGTTTCCTCTCACAACTAAAGACCCCTACGCGCAAGCGAATTATTGAAATAAAATTGAGAACCATATGTTAGTCCCGAAATGATCTAGTTTGTGTGTCGAGTGGACAATACACACACCCTCTCTCTCTCTCTCTCTCTCTCTCTCTCTCTCTCTCTCAAATCAAATATAATTAAATCGGAATAGTCAAATATCATTAAATCGGAACAGGTTTTAAAATCAATAGAAATAAACTAGATTCTAGATAAAGTGCATTATGATAGTAATACTCTAACGTTATTTAGTCGATATTCACAAAGACAAACAATTTATTTAGCATTTTTGATTATTGGCATCTTTGAAAATAACTTATATCAATTAAGGAACTGAATAAAAACTAATTGGTAATATAATTAACCATAATGTCAATGATTTACTAATGTGGCGCGACAATAATTCTAGGGTACATCCCATGTACATTATGCCAATGAAATGGCGCAAGCATCCAATGGAACGTTGCTACTGCTGTATAACAGATACACGGGAAACAATTACACTCCATAATAGATGCAACCCTGCGTATCACAATCATTAAATTGGAATCCATCAAGAGAGTTAGCCTTTAAAGTTCATATAAAAACCTGACAGCTTAACAGTAATAAAGAATGAGAGGGGGCGAGGCCGATTGTCTTATCTTGTGGTAAATGACGATAGATTAACGAATTGGAAACAACCGACAAATTATGTCTTCGGACCATTTTTAGAACAGTTTCCAGTTTCTCATTCAAGCCATATCCGGTACTGTGATCGGCCTTTTTTTACCTCCGTTTTTCTGTTCTAAATCAACGGCAGCAAATTTGTGATTATCATTAACCAGTTTGTCCCATCAGTGAGAAGACGTGCTGCTGCTCCGTGGCTTCATCAGCAGATTACAACATGAAACGCTTCTTTGTTCCCAGAGGTGACTTATAATTATTTGTTCTAATAACTTTACTGTTGGTTTCCATGTACATTGAGTGTTTAATGTTAAGTTTTAGCATTCTTGTATAGACCAAAAATTGCTTGTTAATTTTCCTGGGTATTTGGCACATCACCAGCAGGTCAATCAGGAACGGATATGGGGAAAGGTACAGATTGGACTAGTATTTAGATACGAAAAGACTTGTTTCGTTGTTTTGAATTTGAATTGAAAGTATATGTGAAAATGTTCGTTTCAGAATATATTGCACATCTCCAGGGATACTGTATGAGATCAGTTTTTAAGATTAGAGGAGAAATTGTGGATTAATTAACCTTGTGAATTTGTTAAAATAAAGCAATTAATGAACTTATTGAAAACTGGAGTGCTCGTCATGTGACGACCTATCTTGCTGAATGTAACTTACATTCACTTAATTTAATGTATACTGCTATTCACTGCTTACAGTGTCTGTGTGGTTTGTGTGTCCCGTTGTCCGCAGGATTGTCTAATGGGTTTTGTTTATGTGCTGTGCGGTCCTCTTACACTTACTATTTTTCTATATCGTAAAGCGTAAACCAGAATCGTGAAGAATCTTTTCATATTTTTCAATCTAAATGTTGTTTGTTTGTTTTTATAGATAAAAGTATGGAAACATTTCCAACGGAGAATTCGTACATGACGAAACCTGGATATAGAAGTGAAGAAGAGGGCGAAGATGAAAACCGAGAAACTTGGAGTAAAAAAGTAGATTTTCTTCTTTCTGTGATAGGTTTCGCTGTGGATCTGGCAAATGTTTGGAGGTTTCCTTATCTGTGTTATAAAAATGGAGGCGGTAAGTGACAATTAATTTTTTTATCAATCTGCATAAGAATGTTTGATCTAGACGCAGTTCTTATATTTAAGTTGAGCTTCCATTTCCAACATGGTTTCGATTCGCCGGTTGTACGTGACATGCAGTAGGGTCACCTTTCCAACCTCGTGGGGTTTTGTCCGGGTCTTCCGGTTTCCTCCCACTGCTAAAGACCCTTACACGCAAGCGAATTATTGAAATAAAATTAAACCATAGGTTAAGCCCGAAATGACCTGGCTTGTGTCGAGTGGACGTTAACCTCAATTTCCTCCTTTCTCCCCATTCCCAACAAACCAAACCACATTTTTAAATGGCTATATCATGTTTTGATTTACTTTAAATAAGTTTGCAGAACGTGGTTGCAATTAATTGTTTGAGAAGAGCTTCTTTTTTTACTCATCTCTTGTAGTTTAAGGAATTTAAAACAATTATTTTGTGTTCGATTATTGTAAATGCCAGGCCTGTTTCGTATCACAACCCTTTAATAATACCAATGTAGATTTGATAGAAAAATGAATTGTCGATTTGGTTTAATTTTTGTCTTTACACGATGTCATATCAGTGGTAGAAAGCGCTGTATCACGAGGCCTGTCATTGAGTCAAATGGCGTGGTTTCGAATCCCCGATGTACGTGACAATGAGTAGGGTTGCCTGTCCAACCTCGTTGGTTTTCTCCGGGTCCTCCGGTTTCTTCCCACTGCTAAAGAACCCTACGCGCAAGGAAATTATTTTAATAAAATTAAACCATATGTTAGTCCCGAAATGACATAGTCAGTGTCGAGTGGGCGTTAAACCCTCCCTCTCTCTCTCTCTCCCCCTCTCTCTCTCTCTCTCTTAGTGTGCAGTCGCGGCACACTGGTTGAGCTTCACTGCCCTACTGATTTGTGCCAAATTGACAAACGTACACAATCATGCACTTTACAGTATGCTTTCTTGAAAATTGTAAACGAACTGTAGCGTACCGTCTAGCGGCTGTACGTGTATATTTCATTGTCTGACAACCTTGTTGTTCTTAGTGTTTAACGTCCGCTTTCACCGACGATGATATCGCAGACAAGTTATCTTGTTTTCATTGTTATTATCTTAACGCATGCCCAAGGGTCTTTCCTGTGGGAGGAAACCGGTGTACCCGGAGTAAACCCACGAGATTGAGAAGGCGCCCTTATTTCCATGCCACATACGCTCACACTAGGGATCGAAACCACAGCCGCAAGCCAGAGGTGACCGGCCAGCTAGATGTCGAAGCGCGGCACACTAGACCACAAGGCCATCTCCCCCCTCCCTTTGTCTGACAACCTTCAATGTCTGACGACCTAGCGGGTTGGATGGCCGAATGGTTAGCACGTGCGTGCTGTATCATACGGTCTGTCATTGAGTCAACTGGCGTGGTTTCGATTCCCCGGTTGTATGTGACAAGGAGTAGGGTCGCCTGTCCAACCTCGTGGGTTTTCTCCGGGTCCTCCGATTTTCTCCCACTGCTAAAGACCCATATGCGCAAACGAATTATTGAAATAAAATTAAAACCAAATGTTAGTCCCTAAATGACCTAGTTTGTGTCGAGTGGACGTTAAACCCCATGTCTCTCTCTCTCTCTCTCTCTCTGTCTGACGACCTATAATGTTGTGTATTTACATTATATCATGTTAATGTATTATCACCTGTATCTTATAATCAACCGATGTGTGTCTTAGATAACTAAGTTACACATAATCCCCGCCATCTTGATCACTTCCTGTCATAAACAGATATGATTAGACTTTCACGTGCTGTTATTCTATTAATAACTGTTATCATGGTGACATCTAGATGACTCAATGTATTTTTCTGATGGTATCAATATTTCAATCTTTAATATTACACTGTAAAACTGATATCATTCACTTATCAACATAATGACTTTTACTAATGATAAAACAAGAGGTTATTTTAGATGCTGCTAAAATCGTTAGTAATTAGACGGTAGTCATGAAGTAGTTGTGAAGTCACTAAGGTTTTAATACTAATATACACGCCCATTGATGAATATTTGAAATAGTCACGCTTTTACACTAGTAGTGATATATTTTACAGCTAGTTACACGCCTGATATGATTAATGTATATTTTCTCACAACTTTTTATACATAATAAACATTAATTTAGAGTAATGATGGCGTGCATGTTTTAATGTCAAAATAATTCATTAGTAAAAGTCATCGGTTCATAAGTAAATGATAACGGTTTTACAGTGTTATTCTTGTAAACACATTTATCACTTTTGCCCCTGGAAATTCCAAAAAAGGGACACATCGTTAAATATTTCAAAATACAACAAATTTGACCAGAATGGGAATAAACAGATCGTTAATTACTTTTTATGAATCAGTGTGCATAATTCATTTTATGTTTTTAATGGTGCACGTCTCCATCATTTGAACAAAGCAATAACATGCGTTTATTTTTGTCTGTCTATGGTCACACGTGCAGTGCTTGAGAGGATAATTTTGTCCGGACAGCGGCGTTTCTGCCTACTCTTCATCGAATTCTAATTGCAAAGGGTTGTTTTATCTTCTACTTTCACTTTACCTTTAACTAAACAACATATGTGACGTCTTTAATAATAGTGCTAATATTTGTTACAAAAGACTTTCTTATAACATATCTTGTAATGTCATGTCTTTAACAATAACGCTAATATATGTTACAGGAGCATTTCTTATACCATATCTTGTCACGTCTTTAATAATAATGTTAATATTTGTTACAGTAGCCTTTCTTATACCCTGTCTTGTGATATCATGTCTTTAACAATAGTGCTAATATTTGTTACAGCAACATTTCTTATACCATATCTTGTCATGTTGTTAGTCGTATGATGTCATGTCTTTAATTTTATATTTTTGCAGGAGCCTTTCTTATACCCTATCTTGTGATGTTGTTAGTTGGCGGTATACCGTTATTTTATATGGAACTGGCTTTAGGTCAATTCAACAGAACCGGTGCCATAACTTGTTGGGGAAGACTCTGTCCACTTTTTAAAGGTAATAATGTATATACAGTAAAACTTCACTGTACGACCACTTCATTATAACGTCCACTTATACGACCGTATTTGAAAAGAATTCTTCTCAAATCCGTATTTAGGGATTCTTATCTGGGGATTTAGCTTCAACTTAGCAATAAATCATTCTGTTAAGACCACGCAAACCAGCGATCGTGTGTTTTCAAGGTCAAGGAAATAAAGTAAATACGTTCCAATGACGATATAGAGATAACGTGCCCATTATTTATATAGCATTAAACCGTTGTGCAAACAATTCACACTTTGGGGCCAATTTATTCTGTACGCCTGTTCGTGTAGAAATGAATAGTCTAACGTTTTCAGTATTAGAACTCCACATACACCTGCCATTGATTTAAACAATATATAACATCTTAATTTCTTGAATCGGTAAGATGAGTTATTTCTGTTCGAAATGTGGAATCATTTCTGCTGCGATCAATTGGAGGTAGGTCCAGTTGTAAGCATATGTCGACTAATAATAATTGATTAAAAATGATTTATATCTTCCACTTCAGGTATCGGATGGGCGGTAGTGCTGATCGCCTTCTACACCGATTTCTTCTACAATGTGGTGATTGCCTGGTGTCTCCATTTCTTCATCTCGTCTTTTACCGGCCAACTGCCATGGGTAACATGTAATAATGACTGGAACACCGATCTCTGTCGTGCTGATACGTTGGCACTACCCGGCAATTCATCCAACGTCAACGATACGTTATATAACATGACTTTCTTTGGAAACCTTACTAACCAAACAATGGGTACACAACTCTTTGCCAACATGTCAAAATCGCCAGCTTTAGAATATTTCGAGTAAGTTATTCATGTTTATTATGTGGTATTATATTGCCATCACTCCGTCCTATCGCTATTGTTGGGATACTAGACTCAATTGTCACAATATTATAGTTTACAATGGTTCAAGATCATTTAAATGAGGTTCAGAGACATTAAACATACATTATGCAAGAGCTAAATCTGCCTATTGCGGATCTTGCTTTAGGCCTGAAATATCATGTAAACTATTAATTAGACATTAATTAACTTATCCAGACCATAATCAACTCTTTATCTGTCCGATTTTCATTGGATTTGAATCCAGTCTGCTGTTCAACGTCCGTTGATGATTAAACGTAAAAATGGATAATAGAGACTTTGTTAATTATCGTGACAGTGATAACAATGACAATCGAGACTATAAAGATTTTAAAATAAGGTTTTCTCGGCTTAGAGTGAAACAAATTGACTGAAATTTTCAGCATATTCCCTTTACATTATCTTGTTTTTAACTATTATACAACAAACTGCCAGCTCTTTAGCTAATCTTCATAATGTATCTTTAAGCCAAAAATTAAACAAAGTTTCGTAATTAAACAAGATATTACATTTTATTATGGTTTTTTATGTTTAATTACAGACGAGGTATGTTAGAGCTGCATAAAAGTGGTGGTGTATTTGACGTGGGGTATTTAAAATGGCAGCTGGTCCTGTGTCTGCTTGGTGTCTATCTCATCTGTTATTTCAGTTTATGGAAGGGAATTCACACATCCGGAAAGGTAAGACCTTATTTGGCATCGCTAGCCGCCTGCGATCTTTAGTGGATTATAAGCCGATTTACTGCATAATTTTCCTTCGCGATTTAACGATTAAATGGATAATCGAGACTATGCTGTTTATCGTACTGACTTTAGTAATGATGATCGAGGCTAGGCGGAAATTTCAATCGCTTAGTTCTCGGTTCATAGTTGGTCAATTTGAATGAAATTTTCAGCAAATTGCCTTTACATTATCTAGTGTTTAACTATTATAGCGAGAACTGCCAACGCGTTATCGAATTCCCCATAATGTATCTTTAAACACTATACGAAAGAAATTATGGGCATCTGTCGTGTAAGTGAAGGCAAGCTAAAACTCGCATACAAAACAGGGCGTTATGCGAACTTGCAATGGGTGTTTTAGAAATGAAATTGGGTTTAACGTCCTATTTGTTGGCGCACTATTTGTTCTAATGAAGACGGGCATACGCCACAAAGTTTGCTATGAGGGACAGTTTGCACGGACAGTGGCGTTTCCACTTGCTCATCATCGAATTTCAATTGTCATGTTTAAGTATAGGCCAACGATTACACGAGCAGGCCTTGGTCTGTTCGCTCACCTAAACGACAAGACGCTTTAATCCCCACACCAGATCCCACGTCCTGCAAGATTGACAATAGGTAACGAAATGAAATGAAATGAGGTTTAACGTCCTACCGTTCTGCTCAGACAGGGATAATGAAGATTGACAATATGTAACCACAGGCACTTGAAGGGATTAAAATAAAACTTCTTACTACTATAATATATAGTCAAGCAGTAGTAAGAAGTTTTATTTTAATCCCTTCAAGTATATGTAACGAAATGAAATGGGGTTTAACGTCCTACTGTTTGACAAAAGGTAACGAGAACAAACTGATTAAAATACAGATCTATATTTCGTTTCGTTTTTGTATACTTTCGATGGCCTACACTACATGAAGATCTGAAGTAATACGAGCGGCTTTTGACCCTATGACGTCAGACATTTGATTAACCAATCAGCATTGATGTTACTAGTGGATTACCCACAGTTCCGTGCAAAACACGCCTAAATCTCGCCGGAACAGAACATGTCAATGATAACAACTCTTCCAGATCCTAGTGTATTAACGACAAGTAAAACGAAATTTTGAACTATAAAAACGAAACGAAATAGGATCTGTGTTTTAACCAGATTGGTAACGAGAATAAAAAATCTCGAGGAACTGTATAATTTATCAAATAATGGAAAGCTATGTTTTAATATATTGCAGGTTGTGTGGTTTACTGCTCTCTTCCCCTATGTTGTACTGTTTATTTTGATGTGTAGAGGGGCCACGTTACCCGGAGCTGCAGATGGGGTGAGATATTACTTGACCCCCAATTTTACCAGTCTGGCCAGTTCTGAGGTAAGTAATTCAAATGTGATGGTTTGTTTCGACAGCTAATCCAATGCTTCGATAGATTTATTGAATGATCACACAGCCAATCAGATGTCTTGATATCAAAGCGTTTCAATATATTTCGCAGTTTTTTCTGTGTTTAAGGTTTTGATTGGTACGTTGTTCGAGAGTCGACAACTTACAGCCAATCAAAATGTCTCGATAGATTAAATTAAGCTATTTTAATATGGTTTTAGTATGAAAACGTAACTATATCCCCAAGAAAATCGAATATGGTTAATATCCGTTGAAACTATAATAGATAGATCTGGGTTTTCAGTTTGATTCTAAATGGACCAATCAGATGAGATGTATATTTATTTGTCTGTATTTCTAGGTATGGGTCGATGCTGCAACCCAGGTGTATTTTTCATTAGGACCAGGATTCGGTGTTTTGTTGGCCTACGCCAGTTACAACCAGCTGAATAATAACGTATACAGGTCAGTAACATTCATTCTCATTGGTCAGATGTAATGTAACATTCGTCCTCATTTGTCAGGGAGAGCTGTTTAATATAGGCTATGTCTGTTCCCCAATCCCTATTCAGATACAAATCCTCATTGGCAAATCAAGTATAATGCAACATTCATCTTCATTGGTCAAATATAATGCAACACTCATCCTCATTGGCCAATAATAATGCAGCATTCATCCTCACTGGTCAAATATAATGTAACAGCAATCCTCATTAGTTAAATGCTATGCAACATTCATATTCACTGGTCAAATATATAATGCAACACTCATCTTCACTGTTTAAATATATAATACAATACTCATCCTCATTGGCCAATAATAATGCATCATTAATACTCACTGGTCAAATATAATGTAACGGCAATCCTCATTAGTTAAATCTTATGTAATATTCATCCTCATTGGTCAAATATAATGCAACATTCATCCTCATTGGGCAAATATAATGTAACAGCAATTCTCATTAGTTAAATGTTATGTAACATTCATCCTCATTGGTCAAATATAATGTAGCACTTATCCTCATTTGGATAATTGAAATGTTGAAAGTAATCAAAACATGGATGAACTGTAGCTTACAATATATAAACTATTGTTAAATCAAGGAAGTTACAATCCGATCTGCGTGAATATCGAAAGAAACTGAGATGTTTGGGTTATAAAAATACATTTCAAGTTTAATCAAAATCGGATAACAATTTTGACACTTACTGGGTCCACAATCGTGTTATTTCATACGTTTACATTAGGATGCTATATATATACTGTTCAAAAAAAGTAGGGGATATTGAAATGCAAATAACTATGCATGTGCTACACGCAACAGTGTCATACATTTGGGAGGGGTTCATTGTCAAATTTGGCACTTCAAGGAAGGGTTGATGAAAACTGCCGCTTGCTGGTTTATCTATCCATGTTTGTTTTCCTATCGGTTCTTGTATAAGATTTACTGTTTAGCGTATCTTTGCTTTAGTGTGTTACGTTTAATTTGATCGGGAGACGTGTTCGTCGACGTCAACGTCAACCGACAACACTGCAAGAATTGGCCGTGGCACTGCAAGAGGAGTGGGTCAGATTGCCCCAAATCGTGATTGGACGGTTGATTAGGAGCATGCCACGACGAATTTCTGGATGTCTGAGGATTGGTGGAGCAATTACTCATTATTAAGACAAAAATCAAAAACGTCCATTTTCACTTTTGACAGTGTATCTCTTTGCGAGTGAAATGGGTCCGTCAGATAAGCCGCCCATATGAACTGTTTATGTTCATGTGTAGGCAATCGGCCTGTTATTAACATACACTGGTAACCTCTAATAAAAACAGCAGTGCATTTCCGCAGTTTTGTATTGTTTCTGAATATCCCCTACATTTTTTGAAGAGTATATGTCATGTAACTCATATAAAACGCATTCAGGTTAATTGAATGAATATGACGTAAGATATTCGGGTTATAAGAGTCCATGCATGTCACAACACGTCATCATCAATGAACACGATACGATCACAGACAAGGACCAGGCGATGATGCAAATATAAGATAGCGAATCTATTACAGCTACTGAACATGTCCAAGAATGGTTACGTTTTGATAAATATTAATTTTGTGTATTGGGTAGAGAGAGAGAGAGAGAGAGAGAGAGAGGGATTAGTTAACTGTTATCGAATAATATACATACATGTGACGTACTTAACTGTGGCGTAAATGGGGTTTAACCTCCACTTGAAACGTCATGCAAAGTCACCAAGATAACTGAAACTTTGATCGCACACAGACTGAAGTTTAAGAAAGATTTAATAAAAATTTTATGGGTTCTGTTTTTTTTAGGGCCCCCCTGTATATCAGATATAGTACAAAATATAACAACAAATAAATTAGCACAATACCGGAAGGATATCATAAAATATTTTTTTTTACAAATTTGGTAAAAGAGAAAAAATATCATAAAATTCATCCATTCATTCAATCAATGTTTAAAATAGGTCGCGGGTTGGATGGCTAAATGGTTAGTGTGTGCGCGCTGTATCACAAAGTCTGTCTGTGGTTTCGATTCCCCGGTTGTACGTGACAAGGAGTAGGGTCGCCTGTCCAACCTCGTGGGTTTTCTCCAGGTCCTCCGGTTTCCTCCAACTCCTAAAGACCCCTACGCGCAAGCGAATTATTGAAATAAAATTAAACCATATGTTAGTCCCAAAATGACCTAGTTTGTGTCGAGTGGACGTTAAACCCCCACCTCTCTCTCTCTCTCTCTCTCTCTCTCTCTAAAATAGGTCGTATGGAGTTAGCATAGTTTTATGCTGCACCAGTTAAAGACCTTTATATCAGTGGAGAACGATTGACGATAGAATATAACAAGAAACCTATTAAAATACCTTGAAGAATTAACACGTAACTGTCATTAGTGTTCCTCGCTTTTTAAACAAGACATCGAATTAACGAGTTCCCTAATTATAGTTGAAGTACTTTCATCAAAATAAAGCGTTATATGATAGTTTGAAACGTCGTCAGATATTGGCCAATTATGTTCAATACAGGGCCAACATGATATGCCTTTTAAGCTTTATAATTGGTTGAGAATGGGATAATGATTTAGTTTGAATAGATATTGACTGGTGAACAGAATCACTACCGATTACTTTTCGACTGGAACTCACAAAGAGTCATTTTATTAACGTTCAAGCTTATTAATTAAATGAAGGGGTAATTATTCTTAGTTTTAATGACTAGAATTCGTGATAAGGGGCCATAACAGTCATTAATACTTAAACAACGTTATGTATGTGTTTCGTCGTAAAACAACCGTAAATTTAATCGACATTGTTGATAGATTTTCTCGTAAAACTTTTGTGGTGTGTTCTAGGTAGCCGAACCACATCAGGAGGCAAACCACCATTAAATTTCACCATCTAGGTACCCACAAATTGTAGTTCGTCTATTTATAGCTATTCTCTCTCTGTCTCTTTTCTCCCCTTTTGCGTGTCCATTTTTGTTGATTTGTTGGTCTAGAATGGACGAGGAGGGTTTCAATTAACATTTATTTTCTGCGAGGTTTTGGTAAATATTCATGATTTTGAGGCGGAAGGATAACGGGGTTATCAGGTTGGCTACGGTGATATGTACGGCAACTATAGTTACATGTTTTTAGTATGATTTTTTTTTTTATTTTATGATTCTTCAAGTTTGTGTATCTCAAAATTTCGGTGGTCAACCTCATACGAATTTTAGCGCAAAGACATGCCCATTTGGTCCTCCCTCTGTCTGTAGTGAAAAGCATTCAGCCCAACGAAAATCTGTTGGAAATTTCGAGGTGGACAAAGAGGCCAGAATTAACATTGAAGTCAATGGGAAAATTAATGGTGGTCTGCATCCATCAGTTTGAATTTCTGTGGTAACACACCTATTAAACTTCAGTCAGCCATAAAACAACGACGACCCACTTTTTACATTGATTATTCATTAGCACCAAATCAATCGACATTTTAATAACATGAAATTAAATGTGGTTCAACGACCTACTTGTCTGTACCAGTCTGGCTGAGGAAGAAGGGCAAACCTTTGTGGGAAGGGGTTTGTGTGTGTCGAGAGGGTGGGGTGTGGGAGGGGGGGGGTCACCTACTACATCTGTTATGTACTTTTGGTTTTCTTTAGAGACCACACAAGACACCTGAAACAATTATATGATGTGTCATAAAAACGCCATTTTGTTTAACAATTTAATTCTGTTGGATATGTAGTATGCCGGTTAGTGCTAAATGATAAGGCCAGCTCAGTTTTTCGTTATAGGTCACGAGATGTAAACAGGGTTAGCGCTAATCCCAACCCTAACCCAAACCCTGGACCTAGCCCCAATGCTTACCCGCTGCTACTCCCGTTAGATGCTGCCCAATTCGATTAAAAGCCTAACTATGTTTAATAATTTGTGTTTGATGTGGAATTAGTTGTGTAGGGGATGTGGGGGCAGATGGTGACTTAAATAGAGAGCCAGAAATAGCTACGAAAAATGACAACCATCTACCATTCCTACGCAAGCGCATAAACTATTTCAATGCCTTGCGGATCGTTTTTTAGATTTATAATAAAAATGTTTATTTTTACTGGCAGTACAATAAATTATAACATTTACTCAACACAAATACCGCACCTTGCACCCGATGCTTTAGCATTGATCGGTACTAACAAAATATATCTCTTCCCTTTCATAGTTACTAAAATAGGATGCATTCTCTAATTCACTTGCCGGAGCTTCCAATTAACGGCTTGCACGTAGGAAATCAAAAACCTCATTAATGAAATAGACCAGCTTTGAAGCGATGAATGCTTTATACGCATGAAACAAAAATAAATTTGACATTTTCTCCAGGCTGTATCGGATGTTAATAAATATTTCTAGGTTGTTGATGGATGTAGATTTCGTAATGTTTGGTTTATAATATAGATGTTGATTTCGTCGTGTTTGACACTTGTCATAAATACGGTATCGCAGTAGTGGTTTTGATTTATAAACAATATTTTATTCATGATATCTGAACAGGCTTGGGAAACAGACTAAAGGTCGTTTTCGCGGCGTTTCAGCACGCATCTTTGCCTGCGAAAAAGTTGGCCTAATGTAGATATAATGGGAATGTTTTCATGTAACCGGCGAAAACGAGCGCGGAAATGCCGCGAAAACGCGTACATGGAAAACATAGAAAACAGGGGCCTGTTTCACAAAATTTTAACTAAGATAAAATCCAAATTTAAGTAATCTGATTGGATAATATTAGATTGATTTTAGTGCTTAGCCAATCAAAATTAAAGTATCTACTAAAATTTGGATTTTATCTTTAGTTAAGATTTCGAGAAACAGGGCACAGACTTTAGAGTATAATATACAATCGCGCTTGTTTGCATTATTGACAATCTACAAGCTACGTCTACACTAGCAGCATTCACCGTCTACACTAGCCTTTTAAATCCCGGTTTTTTCCTAAAAGCCGGCTTTTTCAATTTCTCAATCGTAAAAGCCGGCTTTTTAAAATCCGGCAATTATTGAGGGATTTTTCAAAATCAAAAAGCCGGCTTTTTCAAAAAACCGGCAATTTTATGTGTGTAGACGGTAAATCCGGGATTTATCAAGTACCCGGATGTCATTATCTCTGCAAAATTGACTGAAGCCGATGGCGTAATAAATAAACCGGAAGTTCCACAAATAACGAAGGTCGGTGTTCATCGTCTTTTTCCGTTCAGTCAGTGTAGACGCTACACTTGAAAAAGCCGGGTTTTGAAAAAACCGGGTTTTTAAAAAGCCGGCTTTTTCAAGCCTAGTGTAGACGAAGCTACAGTGTAATGCTAGGTTCTCACTATCGGATTGAAATTCTGATTTTAATAGTGGAGTAATTGTGGGGATTCTATCAGGTCTTATTGTGGTCGGTCGTAGCACTTGTGTTGAACGTATCGAATCGTATCCGAACGTATCTGAACGTAGCAGATCGTGGACTCAACAGGGACAATCTCGTCGTAAAGCATCGCACGACAGTTGGAAACCTAGCATTATATGTATTTGCATAGGATTGGGAAACAAACTCAATCTATGTAAAATAACCTTTATTTGTATTGCGGTTATATTATTGATAATTTGCAATGTTAGAGATATTAAAGGAACAATATGTTGGAATATTCGGCAACAAATAGTGTTTAAATCAGCGAACTCTCCTTGGTTTAGGTCTTAGATTGTTTTGACATGGTGTCTATTTAATTGGATTGATCTGTGATTTAGGTCTAAAAAGAATATTTAATTGGTTTGACCTGTGAATCTGATGGGGGTCTAAATATAATATTTAAAGCGGAAATTGCAAATTTTTAAGTTATATTTTTAAAATGTATTAAAATAAAGCCTGAAAATAGATGGTATCCATAAACAGTCCTACCTTGTTAAAGAATAATCCTATTAATCCTAAAATTCACTATTGCCAGCTGAGAAATTGGCAAAAATATCATTTTCCTCTTCATTTTCAAACGTTTGAATATCGCTACTCCATGGTGGAGAATAGAAAACAAGGGAGGTAATTGGGAGGTAATTGTGTTATTATTTCCTATGTAAATGAATCTTAAGTGTGAGAATGACACCTATGATCGTATAATTGTGAGTTGACAACCTATTGAGCAAAAGACATAGAAATAATTACGTTTTAACTTTCTTAGAAAATTTGCAATTTCCGCTTTAATTGGTTTGGTCTGTGATTTAGGTATAAATGCAATATTTAATTGGTTTGGTCTTTGATGGGGGACTAAATATAATATTTGATTGGTTTGGTCTGTGATTGGGGTCTACATATAGTATTTAATTGGTTTAATCTGCGATGTGGGTCTAAATATAGTATTTAATTGGTTTGATATGGTGTGTTACGTCAATTAGTGATGAACATGTTTATTTCCGAAAATTAAGTGGATGTCAAATAGTTTACCAAGTCTTGATTGAAACTGTGTATTTTAACGCATTGGATTTATCTAGGGACGTAAAATTTGGAAATTGTTAAAATTGTTTCCATGGAAACACACAAGTTATATAATTTAGAAATTTCTAAATAGCATATGGCACAACTACACTAATATATGTTGAAGCGTGTACAGAGTTTCGTGGGCATGTCTTAGACGATTTATGAGATATGCTCCAGAAACGACCCCGTAACCGATGGAAGCATATGTCAATATGACTCTCTTCAATTTGTTCACCGCGGGACAATAATCAAATAGCGCCAGAACATATAACCAAACCACCACCCTACCGAAGTGGTCATGCCTCTTTAAAGTAGCCAAGTCTGCAACTCAGTATCATTCAAAGTCTTCGATATTGAAAACACGGAGTATTTTTTAATTTAAATTAGCATTGATATTGTGGTCTTTCCGGGAAAAGATGGGATTCTGATATTCAATATTTAAGACAGAATAAATATTTTACCATTGGTATGTGCGTTTCTGCCCTGTTTGTAACAAGGGACTCGACGAACGAGGCTAGACATATTCCACGAGTCATGTCAAGCGGTGACCTCATATTCTTATCTAGAGAATGCACAATAAATAATATCGGTGTAGACTGGAATAACTAGACGCTAAAGATTGCCATTCGATCGAGACTTCAGGCGTATTCCGCCGAACATAACTGATTTGACATTAGAGTAAAAACAGAAACGTTTATATGTAAATCAGTTTATATACATTAATATTACATTATTATATTTGTTGCGACCCATTTGTGTCAATTTCAAGGTCCCAAATATCACCGATTTAGCTCCTTTAACTCTTAAGATTTTGCCATGTTTAATTTAATCATTGTAAACAGACACCAAAGTTGTTGTGGATATGATATAGCTATATATGACACTTAAAAATACATCGCTGTAAATGATACAATAAAAATATTGTTTACTTTATCTCCTGCCAAAATACATAAATATTTGAAAATTAATATGTGAATGAAGTCAATTCAAGAAATATAAACTTAAGGCAATACCATAAAAATATATTGTGTTCGTTCAAATTTTACAAACAGTGGGTTTTGAATGACCAAAACCATTCCAGGCTTTGTGCTAGCTTTTATTTTGTGGTGGGTCAGAAGCATATGTGACTAGGTATGCATGCCCAATGATAAAATAGGGTGTGTATGGCCGAATGGTTAGCGCGTGCGCGATGTATCATAACGTCTGTCATTGAGTCAATTGGCATGGTTTCAATTCCCCGGTCGTGCGTGATAAGGAGTAGGGTCGCATGTTCAACCTCGTGGGTTTTCTCCGGGACCTCCGTTTCCTTAAACTGCTAAAGAACCCTACGTGCAAGCGAATTACTGAAATAAAATTGAATCAGATGTTAGTCCCGAAATAACCTAGTTTGTGTCGAGTGAACGTTACCCCCCCACACACACACACCCACACACACACACACTCTCTCTCTCTCTCTCTCTCCCATGGTAAAATAAAAAAAAATAGTAAACCAGACGCAGTGTTTTTCTTGTTTGTGCCAGTGTTTCCGCGGAGGTATCTGGGTTAGTAGTATTCGAGACCGATGTCCAACCCAACGGTTAAATACAAAAAAAAGGTTGGCCATAGTATTTGGGTTAGTAGTATTCATTATCGATGTCCAAATAGTATTTGTTCACAGTAACCTACATGTAACAAACCCTGGATGCCCACCACTATAGTGAAAGCAGTAAAACACACGCAATCATTTCCATGTTCCAAGTTTTATGTACGCTCACGACAAGCAAAGAGACCATTCCTTACCCATTTGCCGCTCTATTAGATTGTCGTCTCTGTGGTTAAAGAACACCATTTCTATCTTAACAATCCACGAGCAAATTAAATTAGAGGAAAATGTCCGCCCGACAATTCTTTAGAGAGAGTCAATGAAGTGGCTTCCGGTTTAAATAGAAATCGTCTGCTACTTGTATAAATGGGTGTTAATTAAGAGCGGGGCAGTCTAAGCACGCGCAACCGTCTGCGGAATTAGCCTTTAGTGCTCACTTCCGGAAATCACGTGACGCACTTCAAACGACAGACACTTTGGATGTGTATCCATTTCTTAACCCTTTCAATCGGATGATTGTCAAATGAACGACCTAATTGCCCCTCTAAAAACTTTTAAAGTTTTGTTTTGAAATCATCCAATATGGTCACGTTTCCTTGATATACGAATAACTTGTTGATATATTGATGTGTTTGACCCAAACTAACTGTGGTTAAGACGTCCACATAGCTGGACGCCATTTTAGAATTTTTATATTTAAACTCAGAGAAAAAGTTAACATGTCAGAATAAAATACGCAATATAAAATAACACCATGATAAAACTTGTCTTATTTTAAAGATACATTATGTACGAGTCAAATCTGCCTATTGCGGGTCTTTCGTTTGGCCTCTGAGATTATATGAATTATCCATTATTTAATCACATGACAAGCCCATTATCAGTTCTCTAGCTCATCGCTGTTTGTGATTTTGAAAGGATTGAAACACGATCTCCATTTAATATTTAAATTTAAAAATGGATAATCGAGACATTGTTTATTTTCGTAACAATGGTAGCAATGACAATCGAGACTACACTTTTCTTATTAAAGCTTCAAACACTGCTATTATATTCCCTTTTTATTGTCTATGTTTGAACTATTATAGCGAGAACGATCAGCCCTTTATCTAAACCTTACATAATGTATCTTTAAGTAAACTTGTTTGGAGAATAATATATAATACGGAGTACAAAGAGTTGAAAAACATCTGATTGGAATCATATTGATAAACTATTTGATGATGTAGCACGATACAAGGATTACTTGCCTTGCTGGATGTTGGATGGCTGAATGGTTAGCACTTGCGGGCTGTATCATGAGGTCTGTCATTGAGTCAACTGACGTGGTTTCGAATCCCCAGTTATACGTGACAAGGAGTAGGGTCGCCTGTCGTGGGTTTTCTCTGGGTCCTTCGGTTTCCTCCCAATGCTAAAGACCCCTACTCGCAAGCGAAGTGTGGAAATAAATTTTAACTATGTGCTAGTCCCGAAATGACCTAGTTTGTGTCGAATGGACGTTAAGCCCATCCCTCTCTCTATCTCTCTCTCTCTCTCTCTATCTCTCTCACACACACACACACACGCACACATTTGTCTGTCTTTCGATGTCTGGATCCAATGATACCTCTCATCGTCTGGGGAGTTCGGTAGCTAATAGTTCCTAATAATATATTTGTCGTACGTTGTGTATGTTTCACCTTGTCTGTATTAATGGTATTTTTCAGAGACGCTTTATTAACAAGTGCCATCAACTGTTTGACCAGTTTCTTCTCCGGGTTTGTTATTTTTATGATCCTGGGGTACATGTCCCTTAAATCAAATGTGCCGATATCCAAGGTAGCAACTGAAGGTAAGTTTAATTTATTTCAAATGTTGTTTAATGTCTTACTATTCTGTATCAACCGGGCTAATGAAGAAGGGTTTGCGCTAGGCAGTGTGCTGTGTGGGAAATATTGCCCAGGCAGATGGGTGTGCACAGACAGGCGCTTTGGGTCTACTGTATATCGAGTATATGGTTTGATGTGGCCTTAAACGACTAGACATTGTCCCCTGTCAGATCACCCGCAGTGCTGCAAAATCCCAAGGAACTTCCTCGGATCGCACCCAAGACCCTCTTGTTCCGTAAAACGGGGTCAAACTCATTGTTCCTTGCCAGGTCACCCGCTGTGCACCACTGGCAATGTGCAACGAGAATGCTGGAAAATCCCAAGGAACTTCCTTGGATCCCACCGAAGTTCTCTTGTTCCGTAACCCGAGGCCATGCTCATTGTTCTTGCCAGGTCATCCATCGTACTCCACTGACAATGGGAAACAACACTCGAAAATACCACGGAACATCCCCAGAACGCACCCGAACCGGAGCCATAGCCACTTAGCCACCGCGGTTCCTCGAGTTGGAGAAAGACGCTAAAGATAACACGGTGCATGTCAACTTAAAGGTTAGGCCGTAACCTGAACAACCTAACACAAGTCAATTAGCACAGGACTTCACAAACAAAGGGAAAACGGTTTTTGATCGGGTACAAACAGAGCTTAACTTAACAACAACTCATTCTTTTTGACTTTCGTTTTACACGTTAAATCACTTTTAAATCATTTCAGGTCCTGGATTGGTATTTGTCGTTTATCCTGAAGCCATAGCAACACTTCCGGGTGCGACATTTTGGTCCATTATTTTCTTTTTGATGTTGCTAACGTTGGGATTGGATAGCTCAGTAAGTTTAAGCCTAGTTAGATTATTCTCTATTTAAGGTTGTTGATACATTAATCGATAAGACAATCAAATCATCAACCAATCTAAATGAGCAATATTACAAATAAAACCGTTGGTTATCACCGGTCACTTGCTCAATACTAAATACGCCATTTTGTCGTTTGATTAAGGTTGTTCACCTGGTTTTTATTTAAAACAATATTTTAAAATGATGCGTTCAACAATATTTTAAAGTGACACGTTGAACAATATTTTAAAGTGATACGTTCAACAATTTTTTAAAGTGATATGTTCAACAATATTTTAAAGTGATATGTTCAGCAATATTTTAATGGAATATATTCAATCCTGTTCACAGGAACGCGTGCAACACTGTTTAAAGGAACACGTGTAACATTTTTTTAAAGGCACACACTCAACGATATCTTACAGGGACATATTCAACAAATTTAAAGCAGTATTGGGTACTCAATCTTAATGTCGTTATACGTTGTCTTGGGGTGGGGTGGGTTGGGGAGACATGCCCCGGAATGTAACCCTGTGCAGTCTCTTGGTATGCTGCAGTTTAAAAGGCACCCCGTTTGATAGAGAGTGGTGTTGATGTTAGACCAATCGTTAAGTTCAAACAAAGTAGTTGTTATTATTACACAATCAATCTTGAGTTCAGTGCAGGAAATCGAAAATAAACAATATCTAACGTAAAGTAACATGATGGTACACAATAGTTCAACTATCGTAACGTAAGGTGATGACAAACTATAGCCAATGTAACGGAAAGTGATGACAAACAATAGCTAACGTTACGTTACGCGATGGTAAACATTCGATAAACTAATGTAACGTAACGCTATGACAAGACAATTGTTAAACTATCGTAACGTTACGCTATAACAAGACAACAGTTAAACTATGGTAACGTAACGCTATAACAAGAAAATAGTTAAACTATCGTAACGTAACTCTAGCGCTACTGTTTGTTATCACGAACAAAGAATATTAGTATTGCATCCATTACAAACCACATCTCGAGTTGCGAAGACAACACCAGTTGTAATGTATAAAATTTGACGAACACGGGGGTAGACGTATCGTCCAAAATATGTTACAATCGATGAATCCTAACGTCTACATCCTTATTTCGTCATACAGAGTTCATGGCGTCATCTGTTGCTATCTTAGAAACTTCAGTCAGCTACAGAACAAGTCTGTACCGAGTTCATCACATTTTAAAATTTATATTTTCAGAACTTAAATTTAATTTATTTTATAAATATAATTGATAAATAATTTATTTATTATATGATTTAATCAAATAAATTAAATTGATAAACACTTTAATTGATAAACATTCTAATTGATAAACACTTTAATTGATAAACATTCTAATTGATAAACACTTTAATTGACAATCAATCTAATCGATAATAGATTTAAATGATAAACAATCTTATCGAAAGTATTTTTTTTTAAAATAAAATATTTCATTGATAAATAACTATTTTAATACGCCGATGAATATTTAATATATCAATCTTTTAACTCATAAATAATTTAATTGATAAACAAATAAATAATTGACAGATCACTCAATCGGTGCATAACTGTGAATATATAGCAGTAATAAATATTCATAGTAACTCCAAGTGTAAAACAAATTATTAAATTGTATGGCCTTAATATTAAGATGTGTCAATCACAATGGTGTTTGAAATTCAAGATCTCATGAGCATATATTCTCGCCTCCTCTAATGATTAACTACCAAACATTATATTTTTTTATTAATAAAAGGAACAACTTCCCACCTTAAAATAGTTCCATATTAAATTTTCTATTAATGAAATCATTTATTTAAAAAAAAAAATACTATCGATAAAATTGTTTATCATTTAAACTTATTATCGATTAGATTGATTATCGATTATGGCAAGAGGCCGCAAATATAAAGATTGTAAAATCATATTCCAATATACAGGAGTAAGCTCCGACTTGACTAGATCTTGTCGGTTATATACCAACAGGGATGGATTAGGGCATCATGAGATAGAGGGTGCCACATAATTTCTGCTTTGTTAGATAACAATTTTAAAATACTTAATTTAAAAATTAATTACGAATTTTTAATTAGTCTTTCATTCATATTTTTTCTTTTCTTAACGTTACCTGCTTTAAATTTGTCACAATTAATAATGACGCATGACGTATACAAACCTCATTTTGACAAATGCAAATTTATTTTGGTTTATATATATATATATATGGGGCACCAAATTATTTAAAGAGCTTAGTGCCTCTATGGGTCTTAATCCGACCGCCCTGTATAGCAATGTTCCTGTCTGCGATATCCCTATCGTGGAAGAGGACGTTAAATGATCAAGGTTCATCTACTAGCTGACCTACAAGAAATAGTTGTGTTCGTGTCCAATATATTCCCGCCCTACAAGAAATAGTTTTGTTCTTGTCCAATAAATTCACCTAATGGTGATCCATCACAAAGACGTCATTGATAAATTGTACGAAATACTCCATACAACCCAAATAGAATTCAATTATTCCTTAATCTTTTAAAACACTCCAGCGAGCGAAAAATTGTTTTGTACTTTCGTGCAAATCAATTTTGTTTCCAGAAGTCACCAAGTTCAATAAATTGCCATTAAGCACGTTAGTTATTCGAGTGGTTTTCAAACCATTCACATGTAGATCAGGACAAACCAGCTAAATATCGTCACTTGTATTATTTATGAATAAATGATGAATTTAAAATTAAAAATTCTTGATTCATTAGATATTTTAAAGATATCTGTTTAATCGACAGTTATTGACAAGAAATATATCAATTCTATTGACAAAAATATCTATTTCATAAAAATCATATCTTTAGCAAACAGTAGGAAGTTTTGACCACCTTGGGTGAAACTGACTCCAGTATATAATATAGATCGCCTATCAAACCTCGTGGGTTTTCTCCGGGTCCCCGGTTTCCTCCCACTGCTAAAGACCCCCTACGCGCAAGCGAATTATTGAAATAAAATTAAACAATATGATAGTACCGAAATGACTTAGTTTGTGTCGTGTGGACGTTAAACCCCATTAACCTTTGACCTAGCCATAAAGATTGCCCTAGCCCTACCCTATTATCTCGCCAAAAATCACGTACCCTAATCTTATTTACATGTCAGCGACATTGATGAAAATTGAGTTGGCCATAACAAAAATATCTAGCCGTAGTTCTAGCCCTTGCTTCACAGTGTACTTTCATGATTCGACAATTTTTGTTGTCAAGTCTGACGGAAAGAAGATTTTGTTGTCAAGTCTGACGGAAAGAAGACCTTTTTGTCAAGCCCATCTTAAAGATTAGTTGACCGAGCTTTGTCGTGTTTCGTTTAGCCTGACAAAGTTTGTGTGAAAATTTTAAACGAACCAAATTTAAATACGTGCGTAGGTTATCCAGAAGGTGCTGAATCTTGAGGCATTATAGAAAGCATACCCGTCTCGTGCATGACACACTGCACGTTTTTCGTAGTCGATAATGTAAGGAGGGTAGCCATAATTAGATGCATTGAGTATTCTGCCGCGCATGCGCCTCTTTCGTAGTGTTGAGAAACTGAATACCAGCCTGTTATTTACAGTCAGGGCATTATGATACTCAACCCCATATTAAAGATCATAATTGTCGATATAATGTCATTATCATCATCATCTAGTGAACCTCGTTTCTCATGAACAAAGTAAAATTGACATAGAAAAATGAGACTAATTGATCGAAATAGATGAAAATGGCGGCTACTACTATTATCCTAGGTCGATACCGCAGACAACAAGACAAAGGGCTACTACTACTACTAGGTATTTACGTTCGCGTCTTCCCAGGTTGATACCACAGACAATAAGACAATGATCACTAGTACTAGGTATTTACGTTCGCGTCTTCCCATGTTGATACCACAGACAATAAGACAATGGCCAACTTGTAAACCATTCCTAATTAGGTCATTGTACGAGCACTTCCCCTTACTTGCTACAGGTACCACTAAATATTGGACGAACAAAACTTCAAGTTGAAGTCCATTCTCCGCTTTAAAAAAAACAAAAAACATATTTATTCTCGCTTATTTTTTCGGTTAATCTCTTTTAGTTCATACCGGAAACCGGCCCTATTCAACGTATTTCTTGAGATCTCGGAGCTACCGAGAGTTCGGAAATCTCATGACTTCCGGTATCGATCCGAGTAATGGCTTTTTATTCAAGTCTATAACGACCGCCGATTGACACTTTCTATAGAAACCTCTTCACTTCGATCTGAGTTTAAAAGGAGTCCAATTGATTTTCAATTCATTAGGAAGAACGCTCATCCCGAGAACGGAGCCAGCCATTGACGTCTGTACGCATGTACCGTTTGAAAAATGTAAATTTAAAGAAAGAGACTTGAAGTGAAATCGATGATGTTGACGCTTACTGCATACTTCAAAGTCAAATAAAGATCGTTTTACCTTCCCTGATGTAATTAACTGTCTGTTCAGATCGTGGTTCTATTTATTAATTTTACTAAATGTATATATCTGGTATCAAGGTAATATACTGTTAACTATATATATAATATATATGGTATCAAGGCAATAAGATAAATATACTACTAACTATATATAATTTATATTGTATCAAGGTAATAAGATAAATATACTGCTAACTATATATAATATATATGGTATCAAGGCAATAAGATAAATATACTGCTAACTATATATAATATATATGGTATAAAGGTAATAAGATAAATATACTGCTAACTATATATAATATATATGGTATCAAGGCAATAAGATAAATATACTGCCAACTATATATAATATATATGGTATCAAGGCAATAAGATAAATATACTGCTAACTATATATAATATATATGGTATCAAGGTAATAAGATAAATATACTGGTAACTATATATGATAAATATGGTATCAAGGCAAATTAGAAATAAACGCAACACTCGTTTCAGACAATTGACCAATTTTACCTATATGTGTCATGGTCCATGATGAAATTTAACCGAATCGTTTCTGCAGGTGAAGAGGGGTTTGGGGAGGGGGAGGTTGGAGGAAGGGACCCCAACGAGGGTGGTTAAGATCACAAGGAGCAGTAACACGGTATAGGGTTGCCTTACAAAGGTATAATAAATTGAAGTTTTATCAACCTTGGGCATCGTCTGCAAACGAAATAAACGTGGTACATATGGCTAATTTTAATCTAATGTTGATAGGAGCGGATTCCGATTTTCAGAAAGGGGGCGGGGCGTGCGAAGCCCGGCCCTCGGTGGGCGGACTGATGGGCCATCAACAAAGTCACCTGTTCGCCACCGCCTGGTTGATATGTTAATTGTCTGTTTCTCTGAATTAAATGTTACTTAATCAATTTGAGTGTTTATTTAAGGAGTTCAGTTTTTGTTTGTTTTACTAGGGCGCCATGAATCAGAAAAAAGGAGTTTAAGTTAAACATACATTATGCAAGAGCTAAATCTGTCTATTGAAGGTCTTTCTTTAGGCCTAAAATGTTCTCTAAATTATTAATTAGACATTAATTAACTTATCCAGACCATAATCAACTCTAGATGGCATCGCTAGCCTGTGATCTTTAGTGGATTATAAGCCGATTTATTGCATAACTTTCCTTCACGATTTAACGATTAAATGAATAATCGAGACTATGCTGTTTATCGTACTGACTTTAGTAATGATGATCGAGGCTAGGCTTAGTTCTCGTTTCATAGTGCATCAATTTGAATGAAATTTTCAGCAAATTGCCTTTACATTATCTAGTTTTTAACTATTGTAGTGAGAACTGCCAATTCTTTATCGAATCTCCCATAATGTATATTTAATACAGCAGAAATCTGAACTTCCAAATCATTGAGAATTAATTTTAGAGTAACTTCCCCCGCCTCATGGACAACTGCATTGACCACCCTTAACTAACTCATGTGCACCTTAGACTCGTGTTCATAATATAGAATGTTCATAATTTGTTTTGTGTTTCAGTTTGGAGGATCTGAAGCCATCATCACAGCTTTAGGAGACGAGTTCCCGATTCTCAGAAAACATCGGGAAATATTTGTCGCTGTTCTCTTCGCTATTTACTTTCTGTTTGGTTTGGCTAGTGTGGCACAGGTAATATCACAATATTGTTAAAAGTTGAATCTTTAAAACAATTATATGTCCACGTGGAATCCGTCTTCATTATCCCGGTCGGAGCAGACCACGTTTAACTACTGTCTTTCCCACGGTGGCTCAGTGAGTAATGACACCTTTAACTACTGGCTCACTAACCAGGAAGTCTGGAGTCTTATCCCCATATTGGCCGAGAAATTTGCCGGATTTTCTCAGTCTGGTTTCCCCTTGTTAATGGCGCAGGGCCGATGCCCTGTCGTGGAACAGTATCTAACCGTTCGAATCGGACGAAAAACCTAGGTTCCGTGTACACCCAAAACAGCCCTTGACGGTTGGAATTCAGTATTGTGTCCGGACCAAATTCCCCTCATAACACACTGTATGGCTTATACCGTATTCATTAGCCCAATCGGAACAGAACGGTAGGGCGTTGAACCCCATTTCATTCTTTCTGTCTCTGTATGATAATAAATTCTGTCTCTGTGCGAATTATTCTGTCATTATGTTATATACAGTGACCTTATTATTTCAGGGTGGCGTGTACGTCGTTAATCTAATGGAACGTTTTGCTGCGGGATACTCCATTTTGTTTGCCGTGTTTTTTGAGGCAATGGTTGTCTCCTGGGCTTATGGTAAAATTCACTTTTTATATTATTACAGATTGGTTTGTGCTATCGTCTGGACGCACCTGACCGCCTACAACCATTGTCATTAGCGACATCCAGTCACCTGGAACTCTTATTGAAACATTATTAATGAATTTTCGTATTTTGAGGGTGTTTCAGGAGAAATAACCCTGTTAATTTGAGATATCTTGATAATACTATCATCATTTTGACATATACCAAAAACACTTTAGGCTTTCATCTATTGTTTCTGATGTTGAAGAAATGGATACATATTCCACGGGGCGAATGAAGCTCGCTATCCACGCGGCCCGGTTCTATAAAGAAGTTGGCCGAGAAAGTTCTTTTGGATTTGTCGGTGGTCCAGGACGGAGTGATTGGCAAGGCAAAACATCTAATCATTCTGATGTGACATATAAGAACCCTTCACACTTTGAATTCGAAAAACGTTTAAACACGATGTATGGTGTATGCCCGGGGCATTACCCGTGTCGGTAGAGAATTATAGGCCGTTAAAGGAGCTAAATCGCTAATGGGCCACAATGTTCTTCGATTCCCTTGTTACAAATGGCGCTGAAACAATTCGTGTATCAATGGTAAAATGTTTATTTTGTCTTAAACATTGGATATCAGACGCCCATCTTTTCCCGGTAAGATCACAACATCAGAGTTGATTTAAATTGATAACTAATTCGTGTTTTCAATCTCGAAGACTTTGAATGATATTGAGTTCAAGACTTAGCTACTTTGAACCCATTTCAATTTTTTTTATTCCGGTTTGCACCACTGACATGGGGACGCCAAGACGCCCCCCCCCCAATGATTTTTCTCCGAGACTTCCTAGTGTTTGAGCTAGCGTAAAGGATTACAATCGGATTAAATACAGATCGGTTTTTTTATACTTTCAATGAAGATCTGACAAGTTGTACTATAAGGTCGTGTCAAGGTCATACATGCGGCTTGTGACCTATGACGTCAGCGCTGACGTTTCTAGTTGTTTACCCACAGTTCCGTGCACCGCGCGACAAGAATTCGCTGTAACATACCATTTCTTTGGCTAATTCCTCACATTAACCAGAACGCTGGTTATAAAACGAAATTTTGAACTATAAAAAACGAAACGAAATAGGATCTGTGTAGTAATCAGATTGATAGGATTCGAAAAGCTTTCCACACAGAATTATCTACTATTATGGAAATACATCTTACATTTCTCCTATATGCTTTTGGGGAGGTGGGTGTCGTACACCAGGCATACTATTTTATACAAGATGTCCCTTTTGGCGACTTCTTCACTAGATTTGTTCGCCAATGGCTGTTCTTTTTTAAAGGTGCTGAAAAATTCGCTGAAGATATTGAAGTTATGATTGGTCACAAGCCAGGACGTTATTGGATGTGGTGCTGGAAGTTCGTAGCTCCAATATTTCTTATGGTATGTATAATCACTTCTTCTAGGAAAAATTGGGTTATGGATTTTTGCTGGAGATTTCAGACCACAATTATTATCAGTCAATAGATTTTTAAAATCTTTTCAATTCCATTTATAAGTTTTAAATGAGGACCAGACATGTCTTGTTACAGGACAGAGAATAGAGGGTTTCGAAGAATCTGGTCGTTTAGTCTTAAGTAGTTGCTTTATCTCTTACCATAGCACTGGGTTTTGCCAAGAAGTGCCAACAATAGCATTAAAACAAAGTTCCCCTGGATTTCATTTGAATAATAAGCGGAATTTAGTAATTGACTCACAACAAAACACGACTCAATTAAACGGAATACAAGTCACCGAATGGTTATGAAATCACATTGTCTGGGAATCAGAACCAACTTTAGTGGACGAAACAGCATGGTTGTGTTTGTATTGGTTATATACGTTTTGATTTTGTATTTTTATTTCAGACTATTATGATATTTGGACTTGTTCACTATACGCCATTAACCTATGATGATTATACCTACCCGTTATCAGCCAGTTTGATTGGTTGGGCTATAGCACTATCCTCCATATTGTGTATACCGGGCTTTGCTATATATAGTATCATTACAGCCAAGGGCACATTAATGCAGGTATGAATATTCAACTATTGAACCATTTGTATCGAATTAGAAATTCTGCTGTAAGGGAGATAACTGTACTCGCCCTGTGATTAACGTTATAAAAGAAACCTCAAACTCCCTCTCAGTGTAAATCGTCATATGGTGTTTCAACCCGTGATGGATGCATTTCGAGAATTGGTTTTCCTGTGGTTATTGTTCTGTGTCAGAAACCAGGATGCCTCGGGGTATGATCCACGCTGTTAGCGGTGACAGTTCCCTTACAAGGACACGCATCTAGTCGTTAGGATGAGGCGACAAACCGGGCTGCTGTTTTATAACATTAGGTTGAAGAATCGAAATAAAGGTGGGTCATAGCGCCGCGCCGAGCACATTATATACACCGTATAACCAGTTTTATGCGCAAAAGTAGGACGTTAAAGTTACAATTTCATATTTTCTAAGAAAGTCAAAACATAATTATTTCTATGTCTTTTGCTCAATAGGTTGTCAACTCACTATTATACGATCATAGGTTATCTTTCTCACACTTAAAAATCTTCACACCGAAAATAATAACACAATTACCTCAAAATTACCTCCCTTGTTTTCCTATTCCCCACCATGGAATAGCTATCTTCAAACCTTTGAATTTGAAGTTGAAAATTATATTTTTGCCAATTTCTCAACTGGCAATAGTGAATTATAGGATGAATAGGATTATTCTTTAACAAGGTAGGACTGTTTATAGATACCATCTATTTTAGGGCTTTATTTTAATACATTTTCAAAATATAACTTAAGAATATGAAATTGTAACTTTAAACCCCATTTCATTTATTTAGAGAATTTCGTGTTTCATATGGCAATGTGATTGGCCAGAGAAAGTAAATTTTGTTTGTACTTTGTGTTTCAGCGTTTGTCATTCCTCCTCACTCCACAGAATAACCGTGAAGCCAAGATACGGAAAAGTATCAACACCATTAAAGTCAATGAAAATAATGTCGGAGATCATGTATAATGGATATAAGCGACGGAAAATGCACGTGAAATTCAAAGGCCAAATAAACTGAACACGTGATGTTGACATAATAATTGCTGGTTACCACCGGAAGTCCGAAAACTTAATTGAACTTCGCCATTTTGAAAAGTACGTTAGTCGCCATTTTGATAAAAGATAAAACAGAAGAACACCTTTTCTGTTAGTCTAGATTTTGTGAACAATTAGATAATTATTAGATTGGAGATAAAAAAAAACATTATGTAAATTTGGATTTTATGACGTCAGAAACTAAAGACTAAAGATGGCGTCGAGAAAGATAAAAAAAAATGTGACTTCGCAAGATGGACACGTCTTGGAAAGATAGTCATTGTGTTAAATGACAGTTTTTATTCGTGAAACATATTAGTGACTGGTAGTATGAGAACTTTAATTGTATGCACGTACAAAGAAGCAATTTAGTAATTAATGCAATAGTGTTGAATATGTAGCAACATTATTGTTTTGTTTTTTGTGTGTTTCTATAGCCACGGGTGCGCATGTGCCTTAGTTAGGCCCACTGATATCATGCTTCGTTAATAATAATATGTACAATCTGTATTATAGATTTAATTCACGTGTGCTGTGTAAATAGCTTTATAAATATACACAAATACATTGATATCTTTTCATCTGGGGGTGGGAAGAATCGCTTGGGGGGGGGGGGGGGGAGGGGAGGGCAGACTACATTATTGATTAGCAGGGTCACATAAATCTCTGGAAAACAAAAACGTACGTGTGCTTGCGTGGTGTAGAAATAAATAGCAACCTCTTGATCTGTTTAGGCATAAGTGGAACTAATAATGAATTTAAACATACAATAAACAATACGTATATTTTTGGAAGCAGGAATTTGATTCCATAACATGGTAATCTACTTCTTCTTTGGATGATGTTCTTTACAAATACCTAATGGTCTGTCAAATCGATCGATATGAAACCGGGCATGCTTATAATTGAGACAGTTGGCTATCAATTTGAGTTCGATTTTTGGTATGACGTCACAATTCCAAGATGGCTGCGTTGATGCCATGTTTGAATTCCTATGGTACCATCCATTGTAAAACATATATAATCTACCAAGAAAAAAATATATTTGTTGGCAAACCAAATCAAATGGTAGGATTACATAAGTAAATTCTCATTTTATTTATTAGGTTCATTTGGCCATACATTTCTTTTGTTACTCACGCTTGATTTGAGAAAATAGGTCACGGGAACTTTATATGAGCCAACAGAACAATGTTAACACCCAAAAGATCAAAATACTAAGAAACTATCTCAACACTATACCCAAACATTGCATTTACAATGTTACATAATTGGCTGTATACCCAGACATTACAATTACAATTTAACATAATTAGTAGTATACCCAAACATTACATTTACAATGTTACATAATTAGAAATATACCCAAACATTACATTTACAATGTTACATAATTAGCTGTATACTCAGACATTACAATTACAAATTTACATAATTAGTAGTATACCCAAACATTACATTTACAATATTACATAATTAGTAGTATACCCAAACATTACATTTACAATGTTACATAATTAGTGATATACACAGACACTACATTTACAATGTCACATAATTAGTAGTATACCCAAACATTGCATTTACAATGTTACATAATTAGTGATATACCCAGACACTACATTTACAATGTCAAATATCTAGTGTTATATTTGGACATTACATTTATAATATTGTGCATTTTTTCTATGCTCGAATCGCAATTCACATGTTTGTATTTTTGTAATTTATATACGTAACTTAGAGCTTGTATTTTGTATTTCGTGTATTGTAATTAGTTATGACAGTGTATGTTGATTAATAATAACTATATAGGTCAAATTGTTTAATAATAATTATATAGGTCAACATTGTGGGTTTTCCACCGGTTGGTATTGTTCACCAAGTTCGGGTAGTCAAGGTAAAACCGTCCTATATCTGTTGTCAAGAAACGACCAACCAGTGTGCATCTACCACGGAAAACTAGGGGATACTCGATTGTCAGTCCGGAACGTCCCGAATTGATAGAATTGCAATCGAGTGACGCGGAATTCAGTTCTGTCACAGTTCTGTCAGTCCCAACAACGGAGGTGGTGTGAGTAGAATCGTGACGTAATTAAACACAACCAATATGTTTCGGTTGAGATAGTTTCTTATTCAGTCGACGCATGCGTTGTAGCCGGAAATACCCCGTTTCACTCGATTGTCACTATTTTTGGGATTGAGAGAATTAAATTCCGGAACGTTTAATCGAGTACCCCCTAGAGTTTGGACATGTCGCCGACGCGTGTATTAAAATGACCAATCAATGGGTATTTCATGCGTACAACTACTATGTCATTTGGGTCCATTGCATTTGGTTTAAGCTTACGTCATTTGGTTTAAGCTTACGTCATTTGACAAAGCTCCGAATTAAATTAATAGCATTGCTGGGTACTAATCACATTGATATGTCATTTAGCAGGGTGGTATTACATATCGTTGCGTAGCGAAATATTAATAGTAGGCCTACCGCCTGTCAGTGGATGATACTGGTTCGTTGACACCTTCATGGCGTTCTTAACAAGCGGTCAGTAAAAAAAAGCTATTTATGTCACAAAAAGGCAATATATTTATCTTTCAATAGTGGACTATAATTGGATGGATACACGTTATTTTTAGAAAGGATAGGAATGAATTTAAATGTTACTTCGATATCTATTATTTTGAAACTGGCACGTGGTTATTTGACCCATGGTCACGTGGAGTGTGGCGTTTCCGTCTATTCTTATAATCGTTTGTTTTTATACCATCAGAACGACTTAGCAAACCTTTTCTACTCGGTATGACCCGGGCTTGAAACAACCATGGTTCTTCTCTGCCTACATCGGGATTCGAACATGATATATTCACGTTGAGAGTTCCCTGCCCTTACGACTCGAACACTACGGTCACCGTAGTTAGTTGTCTAGAAATATAAGAGTTGATGCAAGCTTTATGACCAGAGGTTGTGAACGATAACGCCGTAGGGAGGAGAAGTGGGGTTGCCCGGATATATAGGTAATAAATGTTATTGTTATGTGTGAACGATAACGCCGTAGAGAGAAGTGGGGTTGCCCGGATATGTTGATAATAATTGTTACTGTTATGTGTATCTTTTGTTTCACCGCTATCCCGAGTTGTATTTACGGGTAGCCTACATGAAATAACTGTAGTTATTTTATATGTTTTAAATATAATAGGAAATGTACTAGTTATGTGTGTATTATAGTTGTATGACAGAATGAATTATTGTCCAGTTGTCACGGTAATTGCATATAAGTGAAGATCTTTCCATCAGTCTTGGATATTTTGGAATATTTGCTATAGTTATTTGAATAACCGTTACCATGTCTACGTAATGTGACAAGTTATCATACGGTAACATATGTAGGTGATTATAACTTTATAATGTCTATAAATGATAGCAATTTTAATAAATGTCAGTATATGGTAATAATGTCAGTAAATGATAACACCGTCAATGATAATAATCTTAATAAATGAAACTAATGTCTATCAATGATAACAATCGTAATAAATTATAACTATGTTAATAAATGATAACAATGTCTATAGATGATAACAATTTCTATAGATGATAATTGTATCAATAAATGATAATTGTGTCAGTAAATTATAACAATGTCAATAAGTGATAACAATCTTAATAAGTGATAACACTGTCTATCAATGATAACAATGTCTTTCAATGATGACAATGTCTATCAATGATAACAGTGTCAATACATGATAATAATGTATATACAAGATAACAATGTCAATACATGATAACAAAAGAGTTAGTAATAGATAACAATGTCTATCAATTATAACAATGTCTATAAATGATAATAATGTATATCAATGATAACAATGTCTATAAATTATGTCAATGTCTATAAATGAAAACAATCTTAATAAATAATAACAATGTCTATCGATTATAACAATGCCATGTCTATCAATTATAACAATCTTAATAAATAATAACAATGTCTATAAATGATTACAGTGTATATTATAAATCCTACAATTGCAATATCATATAAGATTTATATAATAATAACAACTTATACTTGTTCTGGTCATACAATACAAATTACTTTAATATCACGTGATCGTTACCAGGGGAGAGGGAGGGAGATGTCACTGGAGTTTCCATGGCAAGGGAGTTTCTAGCCAAAACAAATCATTTATAACAATTTAACCTGGTATTGAATAAGATCAAACTAACTCCAAAAAACAATCTGATTAAAACACAAATCCAGTTTCGTTTCGTTTTTTATAGTTCAAAATTTCGTTTTACTTCTCTTTACTACACTAGTTGTTATGTAACCCGCGTTCTGGTTGGTTTGGGGGATTAGCCAATGGAACTTTCTGTTGCAGCGAGTTCTGTGGGTATCCTACTAGAAACATCATGCTGATTGGTTAATCAAATGTCTGACGTCATAAGGTCAAAAGCCACTCATGTGAGCCCTGACGCAAACCCCCTCTACAACTGATCAGATATTCATGTAGTAGAGGCCATCGAAAGTATAAAAAAAACGAAACGAAATATAGATCTGTATTTTAATGAGATTGCTCCAAAGACACGGTGACAGGGATGAGGTAACTGATGTAAGAGTTTGAACTGGTAAAGATAAAGTGATTAAGATGTGATGTAAATAAGGTATATTAATGTATATAATGATTATTATTATTATTATAATGTAGAGAGTTTATCAGATTATATTGTCATGTTAGATGTGTTTATTACTTTTTGTACTAGATAATATCAGTCAATAAAATACCAGGTAGATTAATCTCCGGTTTTACTTTCGTTTTTAGTTTATTTGTGATGGCGGTTTGGGTGCTTGTCGGTGGGCTTTATTTTTCTTGTAAGTTTGTATGCGGTTGTTTGTTTTCGAAGGTGTGTGTGTGGTTGGGGGGGGGGGGGTGATGGTGTGTGGAGTCTGTGTGATGATGTGGAGGTTTGAGTAATACTGTGGTGTGTGTTTTCTTGTGTGTGTGCGTGTGTGTGGGTGTGGGTGTGGGTGTGTGTGTGGGGGGGTAAGGGTGTGTGTGGGTTTGTGTTTGATGGTGCGAGTGTGAGTTTGTGTATGGTGCTGTGTGGGATTGTGTGTGCTGGTGTGGGATTTCTTATGTGTGTGCGTGTGATGGTGTGGGTGTGGGTTTGTGTTTGATGGTCTGTAGGGATTTGTGTGTGGTGCTGTGTGGAAATAAAATGACAATGCACGTCATATTTAACAAATATGAACAGGACTAGCCGATGTCGAGTGATTTGATAGACCATTAAAAACGTTTCTCTTAAATGTCATTTCAAAACAGTCTTTAAATGTTCTCTGAAAGTCAACGATCGCTACCAAAGTCTAGAGGTAATCGTGACCTCCATTAGCCACCGACAATCACATGCCAACCGGTCTATAGACTCAAATGGGTCTCAGATTGTTGAACTGACAGCCAACGTATCAATACAGCACGGTATAGAGTCAAATATGATAAACAAAAAAAAATGTAATGAAACGGGGTTTAACGTCCTACTGTTCTGCTCCGAACTGGGCTAATCAAGACGGGCATACGCCATGCAGTGTGCTATGAGGGAGATTTTGCCCGGGCAGCAGCACTATGGCCTACTCTTATATCGAATTCCAACTGCCAAGAGTTCTTTTACGTACATGCCAATGTGTACACGGGAATTCCAACTGATGTGATAAACACATAAATATGTAGGTGAGATTTGTTGATATTTTCTGTAATGGGTTGGAATTAGGGACATTTTGCCCGGGCAGCGGCACTATGGCCTACTCTTATATCGAATTCCATCTGATGTGATAAACAGTTAAAGATGTAGGTGAGTTTTGTTGATATTTTCTGTAATGGGTTGGATTTTGATGTTGGATGCAACAGTTTTACCACGGTGACACATGCTCACGTTCATCACTCATAACGCCAGGCAATAATTCGCTTGCGTGTAGGGGTCTTTTGGCAGTGGGAGGAAACCGAAAGGACCCGGAGCAAACCCACGAGGTTGGACCCGCGACCCTACTCCTTGTCACGTACAATCGGGGATTCGAAACCACGCCAGTTTACTCAATGACAGGCCTTATGATACAGCGCGCCCGTGCTAACCATTCGGCCACGAAACCCCCTTCCAGGCAATTGGTGTGAGATATGAAATGAAATAGCGTTTAACGTCCTAATTTTCTGCTCCGACTGGGATAATGACGAGGGATAATGAAGACAGGTTTATTCTATATAGTGTGCTAATGACGAGGAATAATGAAGACGGGTTTACGCTATACAGTGTGCTAATGACGAGGGGTTGTTTTCCCAGACAGTGGCAATTCCAACTGCCAAGGGAGTTTTTACCTGGGCCCTTATTCACGAAAACTTAAACTAAGATACAATCGAAATTTTAAGAAATACTGCAATTCGATTGGCTGACCAGTAAAATCAATTTGCATATATCCAATGAAGTTGCAGTATTTCTTAAAATTTCGGTTGTAACTTAGTTTAAGTTTTCGTGAATAAGGGCCCAGCACGCTAATGTGTACACTCGACCTCGGTTTTTCGACCCACCCAAACATGTGTGTGGGATAGACAGGGCTAAACTGTAATTATACGGCAGTACAGTATGCTTGGGACAGTATGTTTGGGATAATTAAAACTCCTTATCACCGACATAACCGTCACAACGGTATAATCAAGTTTAAGAACTTAAAGTAGCTAAGTTCGTAATTCAATATCATCCAAAATCTTCGACATTGAAAACACAATTTTTTTGCAATTTAAATCAGCATTGGTGTTGTGATCTTACCTGGAAAAGATGGGCTTCTGATATCCAATATTTAAGACAAAATAAACATTTTACCATTGGTACACGAATCGTGTACCATAATGCGTTTCAGCGCCATTTGTAACAAGGTGCTCAAAGAATGAGGCTAGACATATTCCACAAGTCATGTCAAACGGTGATATCATGTTCTTATTTGGATAGCATGCGCAATAAATAATATCGGTGTTGACTGTAATAACCAGACGCTAGAAACTGACTTGCGGTTGAGACTTCTGGCTTATTTCGCCGAACATAACTGATGACAATTCACAGTAAAACGGACACGATTGAATGTAAAACAGTTTATATAAATTCATATTTCATTATTATATGTGTTGCGACCCATTTGTGCCAATTTCTAGGTCCAAAATATTAGCGATTTAGCTCCTTTAACGTTACATCACATCGAAAATACATTTCAAAACACCGGCCTTATACTGTCGTCTGCTCACTTCCGTCCGTGAAGCGAGTGCCGTAACCAAGTCCACAGACAATATGCACCGCTCCTTACAGCGCACGGTGCAATTTACTAATACGAATTACAAAAACCTATACAGTAATAAAGACACTTATTGCATAAGTTTCTTGATACGAAAATAAAAGTAATTGTGTTTCAAACAGTGTGACGTAAAAATCCAATAAATTGTCCAAAGACGGTAGACCAAAAAAAAAATCAGATACCACTTCTGGTTTGAGGTGTTCACATAACAAAAGATTTGTCGTTGTAATTTATTATTTAAGCGGCGTTTACACGATACAACCAATCCATACAACCGTCGGATACAACATATTGGACGACTCTTTACAATGGTTTTATCCGTTGTATGGCACCATTTGTTCCTTCTTAGTAACTGAATAAAATGGCAGCAATAGACCACAAGGCGACACTTCTCATCCCCGTCGTCGTGTAGTTTTGATGCCGCGAGTTCCAGAAAGTCCATGCTTTCTATCCCGAGTTATTAGATATTCTAATTCGGTCGTGAACAGGTTTCATTTTAAAGTACGTCAGAATACTTGAAGCCACAGAAGACCACATCGTTTCTGATTGCCAAGTCGGATATGACGCAATTTGATTGGCTATTACATCAGTTGGTCGGATGAGAATAGAACTGATCCTATCCATGCAACAAGCTGTCCATCCGACCATTTGTCTGATGAGTTGGTCGGATGCGACCGCTGCATCCGACGGTTGTATGGACTGGTTGTATCGTTATTGGCATAAAACAATGACATTTATATTTGTATGTTTTTATTCAGAGCAATATATTCAAAAATATTAGCACAATGGTAAAGCTGCACTACATTGTTTCACGGTAAACGATGAAAAGATACAACAAGGTGTGCCGACACAAATTGATTCCAACAATGGTTGAACCTAATCTTGTTCAATACGGTTGTGTTAAGTACATGGCCATAATTACGTCACATTACATTTTAATAACGCTACAATTACAATATAATTACATCACAATTACTATTTAATTACGTTACAATTACAATTTAACTACGTCACAATTTATCTACGTCACAATTACAATTTATCTACGTTACAATTACAATTTATCTACGTCACAATTACACTTTAATAGCGTCACAATAAAATTAAACGACTAATACATGCCATGAAACGTCTATTATAATTCTCATCCATAATAAGAATGAACTCAAAATTCAGATAAGCTTAGAAAAAACTATTAGAGGGTCAAGGAGACATGATATTACGTTATAACTATACCCAATATACAATATTTCAAACTACAAGCCATAGTAATTAATATCTGTCGTGTGAAATGCGGTCAAGTCTAATGACACGTCAGCTGAGGGGGCTGGATACGGGCCCGTAACTGGGGGTGGGGACGCGGGGGGGGGACAAACAGTTTCGTCCCCTCCCCCCCCCCCCCGTGGAAAAACTGTCAACCATAAAAACAATAGATATACATTGTCCATCAATGTTACAGCACCCCCTGAGAACACTTCTCGCCTCCTCGTTGCTCTGAGCTAGTTACGGCCCTGAATTTTCCGGAGGGTTTTTGAACCAATCAGATGTTAGTGTTAGTATTTACTGCTGAACACGAAGTGGGGACCTAGCCGTGATAGGGTCGCATAAGGAAACAAGCGTTTGGTATTGTATTTTGTTCCTTGGCTATGATTAGTGTAAACCTCTCGGGATGGTGTTATGGATTATTTCTGTGTGCATCCAGCCTGACAATATACCCCTCCCCACCCACCGGTGAAATGTTTTGTTTGTCGAGTACTGTCTAGATTAAGTAGTATTATTTAAGCTGTCACCTTATATTGTTTATATTTTAGTCTGATATGTTTACATCTTCTTTTGACATCACATCAATAGGCCTATTGTAGTAATTTCACCTCGATTGGAGACGACAATTAAAACATGATATTTTGCATACGGATAGTCCATTGGCAAATCACGCTATTTACCGAGATTTCGTCTTATGGTTTGGATGCAGTTATGGCGGGTGTGGCGTCAGGCAGGGTAAGTTTACTTTTCCGGACACCTGTTACCACTGTCGAGTATTTTGTACAAAGTGAACAGTCCATTTGCTGATTACACCATTTTGCCTATACCGTTTTTTTAGGACTTCGAATTAAGTCTAATGGTTTGGATTGTTCGTACTTCGTTTTATTTTATTGATGTGCATGTTTGACTATATATAGATAATGTACATATCACGTCTCCTCATCGAGTATTGCTACCAATAATAATTGATATATAATCTAAGTATAAATATTCTAATTGCTAATTATTTCATCATTAATATTTTACTCTATTTCTCAGACATTTTTCAACAGCAAATTGTGTTGATTTCATACTACGTCCACATGGTCGATTATTTTCGTTACCGTGCACCCATACACTCTTCCTCGCTTCTGAAAGTCAAGAATGGTAACAAGTTAAGTTATATTTATAGCACGGTTTTCATGAGTTAACTGGTTTAACCAAAGGCCGTAGGACGAGGTGTTAAACATGTTAACGAATGAAGCGTGCTATAAATGACTTGTAACATTGACACCTGCTCAACATGTTGTTATTGCGCAGAAAACCAATCCCACATCTCTATATGATTTCTACTAAAAATAGTGTGAACCAGCAAAGGCTCGATCCAATCTACTAGAGGGAAAACAAACTGCTTATTCAACGAAAAGAACAAAGGAAGAAACACCGTCCATGTTACAAGCCCATTTGGGTTGGTTTTCTCTCTCGTTTCAAAATAACGCCCTACTATTTTCTTGGTCAGACTTACACGTTAGAATTTGTACACATCTTACAACAAACAGCAGTTATTTTTGTTATGTCCACACTTCTTCTCGAGGCAATTAGCTACAGTTTCTATCGGATTTTTATCAAATTTACAGAAACTTGTGAAAGTAACGACTAGTTGCTAGGCAAACTATAATAAAGTCATGGTCACGTATTTTGGCGTAAAAAAAATTTACTGTTAAGGGATTTCTGTCGCTGATCATGTGACTAGTCGCCCATGGGTTAAAGCGGACCACCATAAAGTCACGTGATATTAAATCTTCCGTTGATTGATCATACATGGCGGTTGATGTAGATTTCGGAATGATGGGTAATTTTTTGTCGTCAGAGCAATACCATGCGCACCATGCGCGCAAACAATCAACGTCATATTGATATTACGTCACCTACCCCATTTTTGTCCAATAATAACAGGACAGGTCATTTTGACAGTTCTATAGTCTTTATATCCAGACGGTGTGTAGTTGTACCATAATACGGAAGCATTCTGAAATATATCCAATTCATTGCTCTGTTTATATAGAAATAATAGGGACAAGGGTTGCATAAAGGATGGAACACCCGTTACCACTCCTCAAACAGCGAAGAGAGATAGAGAGAGAACTGAGGTTTAACGTCCACTCGACACAAACTAGGTCATTTCGGGACTAACATGTGGTTTAATTTTATTTCAATAATTCGCTTGCGCGTAGGGGTCTTTAGCAGTGTGAGGAAACCGGAGGACCCGGAGAAAACCCACGAGGTTGGACAGGCGAACCTACTCCTTGTCACGTACAACCGGGGATTTGAAACCACGCCAGTTGACTCAATGACAAGCCTTTTGATACAGCGCTCACGAGCTAACCATTCGGCAATCCCCCCACCCCCCTCCCCCCACTTCAAACAGCGGAGACTCTGCTGGCTGCCAATGTGCCGAGGTTACCTTCTGTCGAGTGATGTATAAGGCTCCTAAAATCCAAGTTTAAACCATTTCTTGTTATGTTTGTTTCCCTTCAGAGTGTAAGTTAATTCGATTCCTCTCTCTCAGTTCGAATTGCGATGGGGACCGAGAGACGTTCTCGGCATATTTCAACCTTTAACAGTTCGTGTTGTGGACCGTCATGGTGGTGTTGCCTTGCTAGTCCTTCGGATGGCACGCAACGTCAGTCAGTAGGAATACAATGAAGCGTATCCTCCCTAGCATTTCTCATTTGACCATAGAAACAAAATAATCTTATGTTAGTCCCAAAATGACCAGATCCAACCTACTGTTCTGCTTCTATACTGGGCTAATAAATACGTGCATACGCCATATACAGTGTGCTATGGGGGAAATTTTGCCCGGACATCGGCACTATGGCCTACTCTAATATCGAATTCCAACCACCAGGAATCTTTTTTAATGCGCGGGACTTCGGCTTTTTGTCCCACCCGAACGACTAGTCAGCTGTCCTTGTCAGGCCCTCTGTCCTGCACACACGCCGAAAAGTCCCGGTGAACTTTCTCGGCCATTGCACGGATCGAACACGCGTCCTCCAGGCTAGCGAGCCAGTGTCTTACCCACTAGCCCCGTAGCTCCCAGAAAAATATATTATGACATGGGATGTGCACTAAGCAGTATATGGCTAATCTTCTAAAATATTTGATACTAGTAATTCTTATTACCTTTATGGGTTTCACACTTATTCCAAGCCGTGTAAATATTTCACGTCCACCATGTTTAACATCAGAGAGCTACAAAAAATGGAAGCAAGAACAAACCAATTATTTCAAGAAATACAGCAACTAATCAAATTAAGACAAACTAAAGTGGAAAAGATGGTCTTGGACTAATACGTCATCAAACAGCCACCAATTCAATTGCCATATGAACAAGTTACATGCAGATTATAGCTATACAAATGTATAGTGTCCGTGGAGGTTTCTTGTTAAAGAAAATATAATTTTAACACAGCTACGATAGATGCCTAATGAAGATTTCAAGAAAGGGAAGTGACTAAAGCAAAAGAAAAACTCGAGTTATCCTTCTTTATAACTGACCGAAGTGATAATAGATACACGGGTGAATTTCTGCTCACTAATAAGAAGATAGTGTCCTTTAAGGTGGAACAATTAAAGGGAGATAACCAGTCGACGTATGAATACTTACAAATAATAACACTGTTGCCATTCTGTCACCAGAATATTTCATTAAATAAGTACTAGTTGGACTCTGAAATATTTCAATATATAAAATCAAATATAACAGTAGTAAAGTCTTCAATCTTGATCGTCCAGTTTTTGGACAACAATATTGTTTTCCATTTCTTTATCAATATTAGAATTACCTAAATTAGTCATTTCACATTTAATTCAGAACACAAAACCAAAAGAGCAAAAGTAGATACATCCCGATTTGGATTCATTCGGCTTGTTTATATCATTTTCATATGATTCTGAATGTGGCGATATTACTAATTCTTTATGGTTATGTATATACTGAACTGAATAAATCATTTGCATATGATTCTCAATGTCGCGATATACTGAACGGAATAGATCATGTGTGAACTGATATTAGCGGCTTTAATATAAAGGACGCCTAAATATGCTGAAGTGCACGATCTCACCCAACATCCAAAAGCTTTATATCAGGTATTATGGACGCGGACAAGGGTCAACCGAGTCGAAAAATACCGATGAGAGAGAGAAAGAGAGAGAGAGAGAGAGAGAGAAAGATGGGGTTTAACGTCCACTTGACAAAAACTATGTCATTTCAGGACCAACGTTCGGTTCAGTTTTTTATTTCCATAATTCGCTTGGGCTTAGGGGTCTTAAGAAGTAGAAGGAAACCGGAAGACCCGGAGAAAACTCACGAGGTTGAATAGACGACCCCACTGCTTGCCATGTACAACTGGAGAATCAAAACCACGCCAGTTGACTCAATGACAGACCTTATGATACAGCGCGTACGCCCTAACTATTCAGCCATCCAACATCCCCCCCACCCCGGTGTCTACTGAATCAAGTAGATGCGATTACGTTTTAAATGCTGACGTTGTTTCCGGCGTCTGTTATTTCAACCAGCAATAATTTTATACTTACTATAAAGAAATCAACATGTACATCATAATGTCCCCCGATACCATAGTCAACAACCTACAATCATAAAAACATATTCCATAATGTACACGTCTCATATAAACCAAGAAAATATACGATCAAGGTTGAAACATACGGTTTGTCATAAAACAAGAACATATGTATACAATGTCAAGGACTAGTCGATTTGTAGAATTTAATGAAATATCGTTTCCATTACAAGTCAAACGTCAAACTTTCATTTCGTGCTCCTCCATATCCTCGGTATCCCCAGTGGGCTCATTTCATCCCATTACACTATACCCTGGGTTAATCCATGGCGGAAACACGTATTCAAATGATTGCCCTTGGTCGTAGCTTGATTCTACGAACCAATCAAAAAAACAGTTTACAAGCCAGTCTTTACCATTCACAACACTCGTGGCTTGTTCGCTAGATTATGACAAAGTTTGCAAGAAATTTAATAATAACAACAGAGCATGACGTCATCAATCCCATCTTGGAATTGTAACACCCATGAAACAAGTTTGCCAAGTTTCATGCGACTTGAGGGATCACGGTAGCTAAGTGGGTAAGACGCTGGCTCGCTAGTCTGGAGGTCGCGTGTTCGATCCCTGCATTTGCCGAGAAAGTTCATTGGGATTTCCGACGTGATTTCCCCTTGTCAGTGATGCAGGACGGAGGGCCTGACAAGGACAGCTGTCTAGTCGTTCGGATGGCACGAAAAACCGAGGTCCCGTGTACACATTGGCGTGCACGTAAAAGATCCCTTGACAGTTGGAATTCGATATAAGAGTAGGTCGTAATCCCGCTGTCCCAGTTCGGAGCAAAACAGTAGGACGTTAAACCCATTTCATTTCATTTGGCGGACCTTGGGCTTTTCCCCCCGATAAACTCTGCCCAAACAACAACAAGATGAGTAGCGCTGAGTAGGTTCAGTTACTGGTCAAAAGATAAACTTTATTTACCTTGAATGGTCCAGCACTGGGTAATCTGAAGCCTCTATCAGGATAATAATATTGGGTGTTATGTCCGATAACTCTGCCTAGCTTCTGTGATATTGTTAATATCTCGGAACCTTCTGTGTCATATAGATCAACGCTGGAATAAAATAGGTTCATGGGTTTTATTAAAATCCAGAGTCGTAGGGGATACTCGATTGTCAGTCCGGAACGTCCCGAATTGACAGAATTACAATCGAGTAGCGTGGAATTCAGTCCTGTCACAGTTCTGTCAGTCCCGACAATAGAGTTGGCGTGAGTAGCTATCACGGTTGGTTGAGATTTTGGGATGCTAGATTCACAGTCCGGAACGTCCCGAATTTACATAATTGTATCGGGTGACGCGGAATTCAGTCCTGTCACAATTCTGTGAGTCCCGACGACGGAGGTGGTGTGAGCAGAATTGTGACGTAATTAAACACGACGAACAGGTTTCGACCGCATGGTTGGATGAGATATTTATAATCCAGTCGACAAATGCGTTGTAGCCCGAAGTACCCATTTTCAAGTGATTGTCACTATTTTTTGGGATTGAGAGAATTCAATTCCGGAACGTTCAATCGAGTTCGCCCATTTTCTTATGCAGTCGACGCATGCGTTGTAGTCCGAAATCCCTCTTTCACTCGATTGTCTCTATATTTGGGAACGTTCAATCGAGTATCCCCAAAGTGTTGATACAGGGGAGATAAATCAAAATGTATTACCACAGATAAAACTTCAACCTACAAACACAATTGAATTAGGGCCATTCGCTCACAAAAAGGAGTTTAATTTGTCTTTACAATTTGAGTAAATACTCACGAGGCGCCATAACTCCCAGGTCTGTATCTCGAACTACCAGCCTCGTCGAATTCGTATTTGAGTGCTAACTGGAAGACAAAAGCCCACAATAAACAGAAACAGTCAAATTTGTACAGAAAGCAATCAAAGAAAATCACGCGAGGGCCATTTTAACGACATGCAGTTGACGAAGTGACGTTTATACATAGCTCGAGCCTGGGCCCTTATTCACGAAAACTTAAACTAAGTTACAACCGAAATTTTAAGAAATACTGAAACTTCATTGGATATATGTAAATTGATTTTACTGGTCAGCCAATCGAATTGCACTATTTCTTAAAATTCGATTGTATCTTAGTTTAAGTTTTCGTGAATAAGGGCCTTGTTTCACGAAATGTTAACTAAGATAAAATCAAAGTTTTAGTAATTTCATTGGATAATATTAGGCTGATTTTAGTGCTTAGCCAATCAAAATTGAAGTATCTACTAAAATTTGGATTTTATCTTTAGTTAAGATCTCGAGAAACAGGGCCCAGGTGTTTTACCTTTGATGGATGTAGACAGTCATAGTGGCTCAGAGAATAAAGCGGATCCCGGGTTCCGTGCCTGTGTTAGCCGAGAAAGGTCCTCGGCATTTTCCGGTGTGGATTCTCTTTGTCAATGGTGTTTTGGACGGGACGAAAAACACGAGGTCCCGTGAACACATTGGTGTGTAGGTAAATCACTGGAATGCAAATGATGTCGAATTTCCCTCATAGCACACTGCATGACGTATGCAATGAAATGGAGTTTAACGTCCTACTGTTCTGCTCCTAACCTGGGCTAATGAAGACGGGCATACGCCATACAGTGTGCTATGAGGGAAATTTTGCCCGGGCAGCGGCGCTACGGCCTACTCTTATATCGAATTCCAACTGCCAAGGGATCTTTTACGTGCACGCCAATGTGTACACGGGACCTCGGTTTTTCGTCCCATCCGAACGACTAGACAGCTGTCTTTGTTATGCCAGTCTTCGTTATCCCGGTTGGTGCAGAAAAGTAAGATGTTAAACCCCATTTCATTCAATACTCTCTCCAGGCTTAAATTTACCACGATGTACACCTTGATGCGCACGTCACAGAACCATTTAAAGTTGGAATTTAATTGCTGTCCGTGCAATATCGGACGTATTCCCGACTTTATTAGCCCGATTGGAGTAGAAACGTAGGACGTTTAAACCCCATTTCATTTACCATTGTGAACCCTACTCGCCTCATTGTCAACCCTACTCGCCCCATTGTGAACCCTACTCGCCCCTTTGTGAACCCTACTCGCCCCATTGTGAACCCTAGTCGCCCCATTGTGAACCCTAGTCGCCCCTTTGTCAACCCTACTCGCCCCATTGTCAACCCTACTCGCCCCATTGTCAACCCTACTCGCACCATTGTGAATTCTACTCGCACCATTGTGAATCCTACTCGCCCCATTCTCCCATTCTCAACCCTACTCGCCCCATTTTCAACCCTACTCGTCCCATGATTAAGAGTATCACCATTACTTACATCACTAGCATTCCTTTCTTTTAAAGTGTTCGTGTCGTTGTCATTGATGACGTCATATATAAGACTGATAAAGGGTGCATAATGAAGTATTTCTTCTTTATATCTATAGTAGGTAAGTTGATGATTGATATCTCTATACCGACATACGTGGTATCTCTTTAGTTTTTTCTGTAATAGACAAATAACCATACAATCAATGGTAAACATATATTCAGCAGATAAATCAAGGTCTGTCGGAGCTTCAAACTCGGCTTTATCCCAGAAACTGTGTAATTCTGCGAATACAAAACCGAACAAACATGAATACTTTTTTTTAAGAAACAAAAACGTAGTCTGCTACACAAATATGAGACTTTACATGAACGAGAGAGAGAGAGAGAGAGAGAGAGAGAGATGGGTTTAACGTCCACTCGATACAAACTAGGTTATTTCGGGACTAACATATAGTTTAATTTCATTTTAATAATTCGTTTGCGCGTAGGGGTCTTTAGCAATTGGATGAAACCGGAGGACCCGGAGAAAACCCACGCGGTTTGACAGGCGACCCTACTCCTTGTCACGTACAACCGGGGAATATAAACCACACCAGTTGACTCAATGACAGGCCTTATGATACAGCGCGCACGTGCTAAACATTCGGCCATCCGACCCCCCCCCCTCAGATAAAACGACCCCTACTAGTATGAAAGAACGTTTCGGGAACATGCTCCCCTTTTCACGGATTGTTTCCCTTACTGTTAGTCTGTTCATATTTAAAGGTCAACGGAAAAGGTTCAACTGTTGTTTTTTATAAATAATGCAAGTAATTATGTCGACATATCCTTTCCATAATTATAACACGAACCCGAATGTCAATATTACCTGCAACAGGTAAATTTCAGCGTTGGTAATATACGCCGGTCTCCGTGGGTAGTCGTAACTTTCCATCAATAAACAATCTATATTTCTATGATCAGAAGGACTAAAAGTTACGACTACCCAAGGAGAGCGGCGGATATTACTTACGTTGAAACATACCTGTTGCAGGTAATATTGATATTCGAGATCGTGTTATACTTATGGAAAGGATACGTTGGTATAATTACTTGCATGTTTTAAAAAATATTATGAAGCTTTTACGGTGAACTTTAAGCTCTGTAACCATGGCAACACCGATGAAATAGAAGACAACCTACCACTGTTTGCTCCTGGTTACATAAAATAGTGTAATTCGTCCACCAGTCTGGTTTCGGCACCAAATTATCCCACTCTCTCGGATGGAAACTATCCATTCTTGATTGGATGTCCATTTTATAGAAAGAATATTTATGCCCCGGATCTGAAAATAAAAAAAAGGAAACGGAGCCGTTACGCATAGTCCTCTGTTGTTCACAGTTACAACTTGCAGGGATACGAGACAGAAATTACACCCATAAACAGCTTTTTGAATGGTAACACACGAATGGAGATCAAGAGCAATAACCCTTCGCAAAATCACTGTACGGCGCTGAATGTGCCCCTTAAAGAATACCACAAAGTTTGGAAATAAAATCACACAAGCCCGGAACTGTAAAACCATTACACGGTTTCAGGGACACGGGCATTAACTCTAGACGAACAATTCAAAAATAAGTTTTGGTGTCAAGGGCAGTAAGTTCTGATCTGTAGAGTGCTCATAAGAAAAGTAAAAAGGCAGGCTAGAGAGTCGGACATGTGGCCCGCCGGACAGGGGTGATGACAAAATAGCCAGATTAGACAGTCGGACATATGAACAACCAAATAGGGGTGTTGACAATATTCTCTCGGGCAATGCTCGTGTACAGATATAATCTAAGTAGACTCTCCTTTTCAGATAAAATATATGTTATCGTTTGCTAAGAATGTAATATTATAGTTACCTAGTCTCATTCCCAGGTCGATCAGTTCATCAGCAAGTTCTGATTGCTCCATCTGAAAACAACAGTTGTTACAATATGAGCATTACTTGGAGATACACAATATGTTCCTGGGGCAAAATTAAATTAGTTGTTCGACCCCGAGCAATCCACATTCGTCCATTCTACCCTCTGAAATGTTAATTGTTAAAGAGCGTCAATCATTGAGTCTTGCTCTAATCCTTCCCGTTTCTAGTCGTTATTAAATCCAGTGGGGATTGCTATCTTACTTTACTGTAACAGCTGGGCTAAAGAGTATGGCGGGGACGATTCTTCATCGAATTCATACTATTATGGGTACAATGGTGAGAATCGGATTTTAATACCATCCGATGAACTAGACACCTCTCCGTCCCGTGTCGCTGACAATTAAAAACCAGGATGACACATCACGAGTAATCGTCACAACAACGGTATCGCTTTCTATATCCAATTATTATTTCATATCCCATCTGTCAGCGACCAGTTGAAGGGCTGCCAAATTACAAAAAGGTCGTTATTAAACCAACGGAACAAAATACTATACTTACATATTTAGCTATATAAATAGCCCTTGTCAAGGCAACAGACCAGTCGAAAGGTGAATCAACTATTTTTTCGTTTAATTCCCCGAGAGCTTCAAGATACCATAATAAAGCTGTTTGGGGGTAGCCGTACATATGCATTCTTTTCGCTATTTGAAAAATATCGGTTTTGCCCAGTACCGGAGAGTTACTTCCCATGTATTGTCCATTGGTAATTTCCTGTACTGATATATTATAGGTATATTGAATGCGGATGAGCGCCAAGATGGTTTGCCGTAAATCAAGGTCTGTCGGAGCTTCAAACTCGGCTTTATCCCAGAAACTGTGTAATTCTGCGAACAGAAAAACGAACAAACATGAATACCTTTTCACGAAACACAAATATGGGGCTTTACACCGACACGAGAGAGAGAGAGAGAGAGAGAGAGGGGGGGAGAGAGAATTAACGTCTACTCGACACACACAAACTAGATTATTTCGGGACTCAAACACTGAACACTGACTAAAAGGAAAATAATTTTCCATATTTAATTCACGTAATGTGTACTAGCTTACTAATGGTAATGGTGACAACCATAATTGAAATTGGTTTAAAATAAAATTCCGTACGACTATTAATAGCCGTCCGTAATAACGACAATATTTTAAAGAGTAAGCCTCTGACAGCATGTGTATCAAAAATAATCATCACGGTAAACGACACTTAGATCTAAATCTAGTATCGCTGGTTTATAATGATTGACCTAATTCCAACCAATGCATGTCACGTGTCATCGGGATTCGGGAAATGACTGTTTCTCAGGTTATTCGGTGTGTTTCTCAGGATATTCGGTGTTCTATCTGGGGTTTATATCGAATGACTATTTAAATTTAACTAACAACTTGTCAGTAAAACCATCAAATGTGAAATCCAATTATTATTTTCCGGATTATCAAAACTACCGTTAAATAAATGTGCTAATGACCCAGATTCTGACTAAGGTACGGTGACTATCATCGTATCGTATTCGTAGCCACAAGTTATAATAATTAACCTGTTCTACGATTCATTGTTTTATAAGTAGGATTTTTTCAAACGTGGACCGACTGAAGCCGGCAATAATGAGCCGATTAAGATCGAATGATTGAAATACATTGCATTGTTGTCAATGACTTTCGGTGTTTAACACGAATCAAATTCTAGTTCACAAGGGGAGGTAATTAAAATCACGTGATACAAAAATGGAGGTTCTTTCGAATCAGTTTAATACATTTGAATGGATATTCACGTATGGGGCATGTAGATACATGCGGCATATATTTTTTATGACTTGCTTATCGATGTTCGGGCGGGCGTTACATATTTTTTATTTTTCATCAAGACTAATAAATAGGCCGCACGCGCAACTAATTTTGCGTGCGGGTGGTGCCCGAGAAACAACTTATTTTATTTGTGTTGCCTTATGGTTTAATTTTATTTCAATAATTCGCTTGCGCTTAGGGGTCCATAGCGGAGAACCCGGAAAGAATTCTCACGGTTGGAAAGGCGACCCTAATCCTTGTCACGTACAAGCTGGGAATCGAAACCACGTCACTTGACTCAGTGACCTACCTTATGATTTGACAGACACGCATTAACCCACTATCCAACCCAACCCCTCGCTTTGCTGGGTAAAACTTGGGTAAAAGGATATCTTAGAACATTTTAGCACGCTTTTAAACATAAAGAAATTATTATGTTATAGTTATATTGATCGTTTGACACACCTCTCCATCTTTTACAAATAATGTCTCAGGTGACGATATGACGATATTGTCATTTACAATACTTGCACGTATAGCGCTACTTGCACGTCAATGTGTACACGGGACCCAGGTGTTTCATCCCCTGTCCCCTGTCATAAGCTCCGCCAATGATTCAAAATAAAAATAATGAGGTTGTACCCTACCCTACCCCCACCCCCACAGGGGTGAATGGTTATTCTATACTTACTGCCAGTGTATGATGTCTGGCTGTTCAACCAATGTCTATAGCTACATAGAAAATCTCTGACAATGACGTAGGTATGAACTGGATTATTTACTATATCATCTATGGGTGTGCTGGCATCTCTGGTTATATTACTCTCCGTTTCATCTATCAGACTAAAAAATACAACACATACAATAATCATTTATTATACTGAAATACACAACAAATACATTAATCATTTATTAGACAAATACAATAATCATTTATTAGACTGAAAATACACAACACATACAATAATCATTTATTAGACTGAAAATACACAACACATACAATAATCATTTATTAGACTGTAAATACACAACAAATACAATAATCATTTATTAGACAACAAATACAATAATCATTTATTAGACAACAAATACAATAATCATTTAGATTGAAATACACAACAAATACAATAATCATTTATTAAACTGAAAATACACAACACATACAATAATCATTTATTAGACAACAAATACAATAATCATTTATTAGACTGAAATACAATAATTATCTCATATGAATGGTCACTGTGTGATAATTAGGAATTGTGAGATGACCCGAAATGGGTTTTAACGTCCTTCTGCTTTGCACCGACTGAAGACATGTATACACCATCCTGTGGCTTATGGTGGCTTATATCGATGTCGCACTGCCAAGACCCCTTACGGAAGCTGTTCCTTGTTAGTCTCTCCGTCTTGCACCGCCGGAAACTCCCGAGGAACTTTCTCGGCAAACTTCGGGATCGATCCCGGAACATCCCGTTTAGAAATGAAAATATTCTGCTCCGACTGGGCTAATGAAGACGGGCATAATTCGTACAGTGTGCTATAAGGGGAATTTTGCCCGGGCAACGGCACTATGGCCTACTCTTATATCGAATTCCAACTGCCAAGGGATCTTTTACGTGTATGTCAATGTGTACACAGGACCTCGGAGTCTCTTGCCCAATGAACGACCTTGGCCCCTAACAGTAGTAGAGATACATGAACGCGCTTACAAAATTACAACGCTTATATTCAGGACAAAATTGGGTCCAGTAAAATATATATAAAACGAAAGGAACGTATTGTGCACTTGCTTTTATTGGACTTGTAAACCACAACTCAATCTAAATCAGATCATAAATCAATTATATCTCAAAAATTGAATAGTTCCGAATGAATTTCTGACATGCTCGTTTTCATTATACATTTGATAATTTGATGTTTAAACTTACTTTCTGAGTTTCACAATTCGTTCAGTAAGCACTTCCATTTCCTTCTCATAACCAGTCGTCCTGGAAAACATAAACCATCGATCATGTATTCCACTGTCACAGTCTACCACGGATTTTTATGAATGAATGAAGAATGAATGAATGAATGAATGAATAAATGGGTTTTAGCATCTTACTTGTCGGCTCCAACCTAGCTGACAACAATAATGATGTCAAAGTGAGAGAGAGAGAGAGAGAGAGAGAGAGAGAAAGAGGGAGAGAGAGTAACGTCCACTCGACACAAACTATGTTATTTCGGGACTAACATTTGATTCAATTTTGAGAGAGAGAGAGAGAAAGAGAGAGAGAGAGAGAGAGAGAGTATCGTCCACTCGAAACAAACTATGTTATTTCGGGACTAACATATGATTCAATTTTATTTCAATAATTCGCTTGCGCGTAGGGGTCTTTAGCAGTGGGAGGAAACCTGAGGACCCGGAGAAAACCCACGAGGTTGGACAGGCGACCCTACTCCTTGTCACGTACAACCGGGTAATCGAAACCACGCCAGTTGATTCAATGACAGACCTTATGATAGAACGCGCACGCTCCAAAAATTCGGCTATCCAAACGCCCTGATTTCAAAGGATTCTGTTAGTGAGCGAGCGACTTCATCAGTAAGCCACCGTGGCGTAAACAATGGGTTGGAAGGTGATTCCAAATATATGATAATCATATACAAAGAGGAAGAATAGGATTCGGTTTAACGTCTCGTCAATACATCAGTTCGTTTATTTTGGGACTAACAAGCTGTTCATCTGGTTACGTGTACAATGTGAGCAGGCAAATTTATCCCATGCAGTGGCCGTTCTCGTCTTTGAATTCCGACTGACAAGGGATCTTTTACGTTCACTATCGATCTGTCGGTTTTACATCCAATCCGAACGACTAGACACAGTTCCCATACCCACCCCAACCCCTGACAAGTTGGAACCGGGATTGAAAATTCACGAAAATCAGTTTTCAATCAGTATTACTGAAATTTATTTGAGTAATGAACTCCAAAAAATTGTTTCACACCCGTCTTCCTATCATTGCCCAATATAATCCGCATTTTTTATATATCTGGTTGTGAAAAGAGCGACAACTCTAGATTTTGTTAGTAAAAATGTCCAACAAGTAAGCTATAAATATATGATAAAATATAGCCCATTAATCGACCATGTGGACATCTGTTCATATAACATGCACATTGAACAAGTGTACCATTGATTGGGTGAGAGAAATGGAGCTTAACTATCCCTAGTCTCGATACACACAACTTCATTTCCATTCTAGCATATGTTATATGAAGATCTATTTTATTAAGAAGAAAACGGCGACTATATACAAACCCGGGATCGACCTCATAACTTGTATAGATGACATACTACACATACTTTAACTCCATACAAACCAGGGATCGACCTCATGACGTTAACGCCACACAAAACAGATTATCTTGGGACTAACACATGGTTTATTGTGCACGCAGAAGACTATACGGAGAAAACCCACGCGGTCAGACAGGCGAGCATATTAGTTGTCACGTACCAACTCGCGATCCAACCTATAATGTGCATAGATCACTCGCTCACGTCCAACCCCCTGCAAAAATTTCCACAGATCACTCGCTCACCTCCAACCCCCTGCAAAAATTGGCATAGATTACTCGCTCACGTCCAACCCCCTGCAACAATTTGCATAGATCACTCACTCACGTCCGACCCCCTGCAACAATTTGCATGGATTACTCGCTCACGTCCATTCCCCTGCATATATTTGCATAGATTACTCGCTCACCTCCAACCCCCTGCATACATTTGCATAGATTACTCGCTCATTGCAACCCCCTGTAAACATTTGCATAGATTACTCGTTCACCCCCCCCCCCCCGCATACATTTGCATTTGCATAGATTACTCGCTCACCGATCGCCAGTATTTTGTTGTACTTTGTATCTATAGCGTAATGTTGTAGCCCTTGTCACGTAACACCAACCTCGTGGGTTTTCTATGGGTCCTCCGGTTTCCTCTCACTGCTAAAGAACCCTACGCGCAAGCGAGTTATTGAAATAAAATTGAACCATGTGTTAGTCCCTAAATGACCTGGTATTTGTCGCGTGGACGTTAAACCCCATTTCTCTCTTGTCACGTAACCACGGGGTCAGATAGGCGATCCCTTGTCACGTACAACTGCATAGCCACGAGGTCAGACAGGCGACCACGCCCCTTGTCACGTAGGCTAACAACTAGGCCTTAGACCACTCACCCACTCCACCCAAAAATGTTCTTGTACTTTGTATAATGTTATAAACTTGAATAAAATAAAAATAAAAATGAAAAAATTACTTTTTTAAATCTATCATTCTCTCTTCCTCATATTCAATATATTTTCTTAGATTATCTGTTATATTCTTTCTGTGATTTAAGAACGTTTTCATCTTATGCGAAGAACTAGATACATGACAGTTTACTAGATACACACTACACAACAATATCACAATAACCGCTTGGTTCTTCAAGATCATATCCATATTTATCTTCGCCCTGTCTTTAAACATGCATTAATAAAACATTCACGAATTCACAGATAATTGTTTTCCTTTTAGATGTTTTTCAGTTTTCCAATTTGTTAATTAATCCATTCCCTAATCAGAGTTCATTAATTTTTTTCCCCCAGAAACACTGTTCAAACCGTGTTATTAGGCAAGTGATTCCGTATGCAACAAATTTTACAGGTCGGCTAATGTATTAAAATGGCGGCATATTAAATCGATATTTATATATATATTGAAATCTAAATACAAGTAGGCATGTATTCTTAGTTAGTTAGATCTTAAGAGTCGACATATTGGATCAGGGAGTGACAGCTTGTCACAAATCGACCCATAGTATCACCGTGGCATGTAACACGTTGTTTCATGTCATTGATCATCAACTTTTTATTTACAAAATCTAAATACCGTAGCACTATACTAATTATTCTTTGTGTGTCATTTCGGGACTAACGTATGGTTCAATTTTATTTCAATAATTCGCTTGCGCGTAGGGGTCTGTAAGGGGCCCGAAGAAAACCCACGAGGTTGGACAGGCAACCTTACTGTCACGTAGAAGCCGGGAATCGAAATCACGAAAGTTGACTCAATCACAGAGTTTATGATACTACCCGCACGCGCTAACCATCCCACTCCCATCGTGTAAAAGACGTGGACCGTGGAAAAATTAAATAAAATGGTGTTTAACGCCCTGAATGTCTCCTTCTTGCACCCGGTGTCCTGGCAGTGGAGTGGCGCTACGGCCTACACTAAGTTGGACTAACAGCTGGCAAGGGTTATTATACGTACAAGTCAATGTGTATACAGAACCTCGGTGTTTCGTGTCTCATCCGAACGGCTACACACTGTTCCTTGTCATGCCCCCCGTCCTGTATCACTGACAATGCAACGTCAAGCCAGAGAACATTCTCGGCTAACATCGGGACCTCCAGATTAGTGAACCAACGTTTTACTCACTGTGCCACATAAACCAGAAACGTGGATTGATACACAAGATAGAGAGAGAGAGAGAGAGAGAGAGAGAGAGAGTTTATTTCAATAATTCGCTTGCGCGTAGGGGTCTTTAGCAGTGGAAGGAAACCAGGGAGGGGGCAAAACAAAACGGAGCTTGAACGGGCGACCCTACTTCTTGTCGCGCACAACCGGGGAATCGAGACTCAATGACAGACCTTATGCGATAACCATTCGGCCATACAACCCCGTGACCAGATGCTTAACTCCCTTGTTTTGATTCTATCTTGTCTTTGAATTAATTTATGTTTTTCATCCTGACAATGGGTGAGGATTTAAAATATAAAATGTTTTAATCAACTCAGTCTAACAGGCAGCAGATGGTGTAATCAATATTCGGTTAACCGTTAAACCGTTTGTTGTTGTATTCTACAGTTAATGAGCAGTATACAGAACACAATCAGTGCTTATTATAATTAGTGACAATTGTTTGTAACTTGTATAATAAATATTTATAGTTCATGTAACATGTCGATAAATTATCATATAAATATATGGCCACCAATCTCGTTGCTGAAATTCTGAATTGACAGTCGGGACATATTTAAAAGAATACAGTGCGCCGAAGTCATTCCAATCACCTTCGGACTATCGGCCAAGGGGAAACAGTTTAATATTTGGCAGCCAATTTCGTTGCTGACAGTGGGGACATATTTAAAAGAATACAAGTAGCCGAATCCATTCCAATCACTTTAGGACTATCGGACAGTGGGAAACAGTATAATATTTATCACTATGTTCTGGTAAGTACTTTATTTAAAGTAGCTAAGTCTCTAACTCAATATCATCCAAAATCTTGGAAATTCAAAACACGAATTAATTGTCAATTTGAATCCACATTGATGTTGTGATGTTACCGGGAAATGATGGGCTTCTGATATCTAATATTTAAGACACAATAAACATTTTACCATTGGTAAACGAATCGTGTACCATAATGCGTTTCAGCGCCATTTGTAACAGGGAACTCGAAGAACAAGGCTAGACATATTCCACAAGCCATGTCAAACGGTGACAGTATATTCTTATCTGGAGAGCTTGCGCAATAAATATTATCGGTGTAGACTGGAATAACCAGACGCTAGAGGTTGCCATTCAGTTGAGACTTCTGGCGTATTTCGCCGAAATTAACTGATTTGAAATTAGAGTAAAAACGGAAACGATTGAATGTAAATCAGTTTATGTACATTCATATTACATTATTATATGCGTTGCGACCCATTTGTGTCAATTTCTAGGTCCCAAATATTAGCGATTTAGCTCCTTTAATATTAAAAATTATACATATAAACTAGTTAACATCTGGAAGATTTTATTCGCTGCTCTAAACGAAATTAAAAATGCATTACAAATGGAGCTGGACGTTCTTGCTATTATAGTTTAAAAATAGATAATGAAAAATGAATATATTGAAAATTCCAGTCAAATTATTTATTATAAATTATTATATGTGAGGTCATAAGTGTTTGAAGTTTTAACCAAATTATCGTCTCAACGGTACTTAACAACCGAGACTAAGTATCGATTATGTATTTTATCGTCAAATTCTGAAATGGTCGCGCTTCCAGTTTTCTCTCCCACTGCTAAAAGCCCCCCCCCTCTTTCTCTCTCTCCCTCTCTCTCTCTCTCTCTCCAATTGGTCTTCTTGTCTTTTAATGAGACTTGTATCTGTATTTTTATGTTAGTTCCAGTATACTGGTCTTCTTGTATTATTGTATTTGTTTATATTTTTATAATAGTTTCAGGGGATCACGTGGCTAAGTGGGTAAGACGCTGGCTCGCTAGCCTGGAGGTCGGGTGTTCGATCCCTGCATTGGTCGAGAACGTTCATTGGGATTTCCGACCGTGATTTCCCCTTGTCAGTAGTGCAGGATGGAGGGCCTGACAAGGACAGCTGTCTAGTCGTTCGGATGGGACGAAAAACCGAGGTCCCGTGTACACATCGGCGTGCACGTAATAGATCCCTTGGCAGTTGGAATTCGATATAAGAGTAGGCCGTAGCGCCGCTGCCCGGCCAAAATTTCCCTCATAGCACACTGTATGGCGTATGCCCGTCTTCATTATCCCAGGTTAGGAGCAGAACAGTAGGACGTTAAACCCCATTTCATTTCATTTCATTTTATGATAGTTTCAGTATACTGGTGATAGTTCCCTTCCTATTATGTATACCTGAGATTCTATCAGAGACAACAGTTTATATTAGGAGTGTGTGGGCAGGTAAAGTTGATGCTGAAGTCTGTTTAGATGTACCTGTGACAGGTATTACCTGTGGCTGGCAGATAGAATTCTCTTTCTCTCCTAAACTCACAGCATTAAATGTAAGTATTAAAGTAAAGGGTGCACAGCAAACTACATTCGTCATAAAATACAAGTAAAAATAATATTAAAGTATAAGTGTAAAAGAGGAAAGTAACAAACTACAGACCATTCGTTCCGGCGTGGTTTCCCCTTGTCAGTGATGCAGGACGGAGGGCCTGACAAGAACAGCTGTCTAGTCCTTCGGATGAGACCAAAAACCGAGGTCCCGTGTATATATTGGAATGCACGTAAAAGGTCCCCTGGCAGTTGGAATTCGATATAAGAGTAGGCGATAGTGCCGCTGCCCGGGTAAAATTTCCCTCATAGCACACTCTATGGCGTATGCCCGTCTTCATTAGCCCAGTATAGGAGCAGAACAGTAGGACGTTAAACCCCATTTCATTTCATATCATTTATAGAACATTCGTATAACATAAAATATATTAATACTATAGTCAAAGGACAAAATTCCACACACTGCAGTACATTCGTCTATTATAAAATAAATTAATGCTTTAGTCAATGGACGAAATCCACACACTGCAGTACATTCGTCTATCATAATATAAATTAATATTATAGTAAAAGGGGAAAATCCATAGACTGCAGTAAATTAATCTATCATAAAACAAATTTATATTACAGAAAAAGGGGAAAAATCCACAGACTGCAGTACATTCGTCTATCATAAAACAAATTTATATACTCAAAGCCATTAAATACGCAATGCCTAATTTGTGAAATATTTCTGGTAAACGTTTTCTTGGGCTTTCCTATTTTATGGCACATAGGTGAAACTTGTGATGGGTCTCTTTTGGTGGAGTTCTGGGTTTGAACCCAATATCAGTTCTCGGTAATGAACTTTGTTCGTGCAAACGCAACACTTGTCTTTTTTCACGATTTTAAGCAGTCCCATGTCACACGTTTTGCACGTGCATTCCCTGCATATGTACTATAGTAAAAATGGCAAAAAGTTACAGACTGCAGTAAATTAATCTATCATAAAATAAATTAATACCAAAGTAAAAGGAGGAAAATCCACAGACTATAAAGCATTCTATCATATAATCATCGGGGAAGCAATAACTAGTCTTAGTCCAAGGTTATAATAGTTTCGAACTTTATTTAAAAATTCCAACAAGGAACACAATAGGTTTAAATAGATGTATTATCATTAGTTTTCGCCTTTAATACGTTATTTTTTTCTTTTCTAAATATTCTCTTTAAGGTTTACGACGGCACAAACCTAGCGAATTATGACAACATCTTCATTGTTGGGAATAAAACTTACAATGCTGCACTACTGAACAGTAATGTTTGTTTTGGTTTGACTGGTGAAAACAGTGGTATAACTTATCCTAACAACCCTAATATAACAGCAGAGTTCCTGTGTGCCTGTTATACAACTGCTGCTGACAAAGATTGTAGTACCTTTACTCCTGTATCAACATCACCAACAACAACATCCACCACCACAACAACTAATACGCCTACAACAACGTTAATTTCAGATAATAGTGCTACAGTTTCTACAAATGATGGTGGTTTTGTTATGAGTACGGAAAACCCTTCAAATGAGGCTAGTTCCGATTTAACAAGTGGAACAGTTCAGAACCCTTCGACTGCTGCTGCTTCAGTGTCATCAGGTGGAACAGTAAATAGTACTGAGAAACCTTCAAATGTGACTAGTTCAAATGATGGCGAAACTGTTCCTTCAAACGAGACTAGTTCTGATCCCTCAGAAGGTGATGGAGTCGTTTTTACAGCTGTTTTAGTGTCATCAAGTGGAACAGAAAATAGTACTGAGAAACCTTTGAATGTGACTAGTCCAAATGATGGCGAAACTGTTACCAGTACGGAGGGTTTTTCAAACGCGACTAGTTCTGATCCCTCAGAAGATGATGGGGCCGTTGTTACAACTGCTTCAGTGTCATCAAGTGGAACGGAAAATAGTACTGAGAAACCTTTGAATGTGACTAGTCCAAATGATGGCGAAACTGTTACTAGTACTGAGGGTTTTTCAAACGAGACTAGTTCTGATCCCTCAGAAGATGATGGGGCCGTTGTTACAGGTGCTGATGTGTCTTCAAATAGTACAGGCTCAAATTCAACAAATGATGCCGGAATTGCAGATGATTCTGTGCATTCATCAAATGACACGAGTTCAGATCCAGAATCAGCTGGTTATACCAATGTAACTTCTTCTGATTCAGAATCTGTTAATGGAACAGTTGGTGATTCAGTTGATGATGAATATAACTCACCAAACAGAACAGATAATTCAGCTGCTGGTACTGGTAATGTAGCCATTCTTAATTAAATAAAGTAATATTCACATCCTTTAAGGCTGTTACGCTATCTCTCTCTATATATATATATCTACGTATTGCTTGGATACCATATATATTATATATAGTTAGCAGTATATTTATCTTATTGCCTTGATACCATATATATTATATATATACTATTCAAAAAAAGTAGGGGATATTTGATTTTGGGGGCATAATACTAAAATATGCAAATGACTACAAAAAAGTCACTATAGAACCTAACAGAAGAAACATTTCCAGTTACATGTGACGCCCAAACGCACCAATAGCTACCGCATGGAATGCAGGTGATGCTTGGGATCATCATGGGGGTCCAACCCAAGATTTGCACGACTCTGACTTTGAATGTTACAGTCATTGTGGCATTGAATTCCAGGGTGGAAACATCAGTTTAATTGTTTTAGTGACCAGAAAACAAATTTTGATATGCGTCGGCTTACCCAAAATGAAAGGTTACGTGCCCTTGGCATGCTGCAGATCGGCACAACACAGGCGGTTGTGGCGCGGACGATGAATGTTTCTCAGTCTGTCATAAGCAGGCTATGGTCCAGATACCGTGATACACAATCTGTACAGGACAGACCACGCTCAGGTCGACCAAGGGCGACAACTCAAGCCCAGGATCGATTTATCCGTACCTTGGCCTTGAGAAATCGTGTCATCACAGCAAATCAGATCAGCGCTCGTCTTCAAACAGACACTGGTGTGAGAGTGAGTGGCCAGACGATTCGGAATCGACTGCATAGGGGTCACCTTCGCGCCCGACGTCCTCGCGTGATCCCTTGTTTGAGAGATCATCACATTCAGGCCAGACGTCGTTGGTGTAGGGATCGTCAACACTGGGATAATCGACGCTGGAGCAATGTGATGTTTTCAGATGAGTCAAGGTTCACTGTTGATTTTTTGGACAGACGTAGGAGGGTGTGGCGTCGTCGAAACGAGCGCTTCCAAGACGTTAACGTCATCAGACATGATCGATTTGGGGGTGGTTCTGTTATGGTGTGGGGAGGCATCACTGTTGCTGGAAGAACGGCTTTACATGTTGTTGCAGGGCGTGTTACAGGCCAGTACTACCGGGACAACATCTTGGCAGTCCATGTTGTGCCGTTGGCACGACGTCATGGCCGCCGTTTCATCTTCCAGGATGACAACGCAAGATGTCACAGGGCCAGGATCGTTACAGGTTACCTCCAACAACAGAACATCACCACATTACCTTGGCCAGCACTGAGTCCCGACCTCTCCCCCATCGAGCATTTCTGGGACATGCTTGGACAGAGGTTACGTCAACGTCAACAACGTCCTGCCAATGTCCAAGAACTTGCTGCTGCGTTGCAACAGGAATGGGACAATCTGGACTAAAATGACCTTAGACGTCTCATTAGGAGTATGCCACGTCGGATCAATGCTTGTTTGGCAAACAGAGGAGGATTTACCCGTTACTGACTTGGTTGTGATGCTGTGGTAACTTTGCTGTTTGACCCCGGGTATCATTTTACCCTTATAATGGTCAGTCTGTGCCTTACTTAGTCTAACGATCATTTGGAATAAATCGATGAATGTGAACTTCATTTCATTTTGTCATTTGTTTCTTCGTCAGTTTCATTAGGTGACTTTAATAACACTTAAAAATCAAATATCCCCTACTTTTTTTAATAGTATAGTTAGCAGTATATTTATCTTAGTGCCTTGATATATATATATATATACATCTAGTAAAATTAATAAATATAACAAACAACTATCTTCATTTGATTCATAAGTCGTGTCAATCGGTTAATATCGGTATTTAATCATTATAAATCATATCGTTTCAGAATCCACAGATAATGAAAAGCAGACTGCTTTTAAGAGATACAAGACGAATTACATGATTTTGGTATATTTTCTTCCCTATAAAATACGGTATGTTCCGGTGATGAATCGGGTTGATTGTGCTCTCTACTGTACTGAAGATAAAGTTTGTGCGGGATTCAATTATCATACTAAACATTGCTTCTTGATCAGTGGCGGGGTTATAAAAGATACTATGTTGTACTTTCGGTATGCGTGGGAGGCATGGATACGAGTTGTGGATGAGCAACCAGGCAATTCAACTACTATAGCACCAACTACAACAGCAACACCAACTACGACAACTACTACTACTACTAAACCATCTACGACATCACCACCAACCAATACAACAGCACCAACCAATGCAACATCACCAACTATGACAACATCGCCAACTACTACAACACCAACCAATACAACATCACAAACTACGACAACACCAACCAATACAACATCACCAACTACGATAACACCAACCAATACAACATCACCAACTACGACAACACCAACCAATACAACATCATCAACTACGACAACACCAACCAATACAACATCACCAACTACGACATCACCAACCAATACACCATCACCAACTACGACATCACCAACCAATACAACATCACCAACTACGACATCACCAACCAATACAACATCACCAACTACCACAACATCACCAACTACAACAACATCAACTTCAGAATCCACATCACCAACTACAGCAACCACTTCAACAACACCAACTACAGCAACTTCTGCAACAACACCAGCTTCTACAACGTTTACATCAAATACAGAAACAACAACACCAACTTCAGAAACAACAACGCCAACTACAGCAACTACAGAAACTACTACTGTTACCCAGAATCCAACATAATCTTACCGGTATCGCCACGGTTGTATAGTGCACAATGTATGTTAGTCCATGATGGCGTCATTTCTTACAGCATGATGTTTATGGGAGGCCTTGTTAACGTCATTTCTTATCGGATGATGTTTGTGCAAGCCTCACAACAATAATTCTGGCATCTACTGATATTATTGTCGTTTATACGAATATTTCCGCCCAGACATGTTAGGTTTATAATTGTACATCACCATGGATACGACCGGGTTATAAACTAAATGCGCCATAGACTAGTTCTGAGCTACACGTGTTACGTACATCGAACTGTAGATAGTAGAGACTTTTGGCAAACGCAAATTCCTGGTCCGTATCGCGTATCCGAAACAACTTTGCGTGTGACGTCATCAATGTGTGTGTATTTCTCATACGTGATTTTAAGGCACACGGATACGGCAGCACGTATCGAACAGCTTTCATACGGAAATGGTCCGTATAACATCGTCGTATTTTTACCGTATATTTTGCTACTTTTAGAAATATTGTACCATAGCGTTTTTATGAATCTATGTGTATCCTAGAACACGAGGATGTATATTTGATGTGATTTTAACCATGATAAAGACTGGAATTTGATCATTATTTGTCATGAGTTTTTCTCGGAATTTTCATATTTTTCCCGCGTGTCTTTCTGCATTCTGGTTGATCTACGTGCTAAATTTCGGGAGGTGGGACCATGTAAATTTGAAAATGATATGATTCTATGGTAAAGGAGTATAAATGATACATTGGTGAAACCAAACATTGCTGTCGAATTCAATAAGATTCGATATTAAATTTGTTTAATAGTTCAGCGATTGTCGAGCGACTTAACTCCCTCCGGCTATAGGCACTTAACTAGTACTGATCTTGGTAGATAATTGCCATCATGTTGTAACAGAACTAAGCTCAGCTCAGCTACTCATACGTACGAGGCGCGAAAATCTGCCAAAACTCTAAAACTACATTGACGCAACGTATCACGTGACGACAGCGGTACTTGATACGGATCATAGGAAAAAATTTCCTTGCCAAAGGTCTGTATTGAGAGTATATTTTTATCCACTAACCCTAACCCTCGTGAGTTATTGAAATATAATTGAACCGTCTGTTAGTCCCAAAATGATTTAGTTTGTGTCGAGTGGTTGTGCGTGACAAGGAGTAGGGTTGCCTGTCCAACCTCGTGTGTTTTCTCTGGGTCCTCCATTTTCCTCCCACAGCTAAAGACCCCTACGCGCAAGCGAATTATTGAAATAAAATTGAGCCATGTGTTAGTCCCGATATGACCTAGTTTGTTTCGAGTGGACGTTACCCCCCTCTCTCTCTCTCTCTCTCTCTCTCTCTCTCCCTCTCTCCCTCTCTCTGTGTGTATAATTATGTATTTAATTGATTCGAGTGAATTAAACAAATGCCGTGCATAATTGATTAAAATCAGTAGTTAAATTCGAAATTTGAAATGACCAAAAACGTGAATCCCCACCCCCCACCCCCCACCCCCACCCCCGCCAACGAGGGTAAATGAGAGAGAGAGAGAGAAATGGGGTTTAACGTCCACTCGACACAAACTAGGTCATTTCGGGACTAACATATGGTTTAATTTTATTTACATAATTCGTTTGCGCGTAGGGGTCTTTAGCAGTGGGAGGAAACCGGAGGCCCCGGAGAAAACCCACGAGGTTGGACAGGCGACCCTACTCCTTGCCACATACAACCGGGGATTCGAAACCACGCCAGTCGACTCAATGACAGACTTTATGATACAGCGCGCGCACGCTAACCATTCAGCCATCCAACCCCCTGAGGGTTAATGAAACCAGGTGTAACCCTGTAAGAGAACTCAACCCTCCAGTGTGTCGTGTTAAAATGAATATATACTTTTTGACTTGAGTCAAAAATAAAATTGATGATTTCGTTGGATTTGATATATTGATATGTTTTGTGGTATGACAGTCCGTGAATATTTTAAGTTTGTAGATAAAGTGAGTTGTAACCGCTTTTGTGTTCCACTGTCGATAGAGCTAGTCTGAAATGAAACCAAAACTTTCATATGATAATTATTGCCCCATTACAATTGTCTGAATCTACGACAGTTTGGTTCCTTTAATACGAATTGAACTGAGATGCAATTTGGTTTAATTGTTCTGCTCCGACTTATTTTCACAAAGTTTGTTATACATAATGATACTAGTTATCTGAATTACAATTGAATAGATTCAGTGTTGGACTAAAGCCTGCAGGCTGGAGTCCAGCCATGAAACTATTCAATTGTTTTTTTTCAGACAACTAGTATCATTATGTATAGCATTCGTTGTAAAACTAATGCGGAGAGATTTTGATTTAACAGTTTTTACGTATTTTTGAAACAGGTTCCGAAGCGTTTTGGTTCTGTTATGCAAGATCATTTTCGACGTTCCAAAATAAAAGTTCGGTGCTAAGACCACCTAAAGATAAATTTTAAATGTTCCTATTATTAATTAGAACAGGTTTGGCTTTAGTTTTTATATTTTACGTTGCCATTTATTACTTTAATTCTTCCTAGTGCTAAAACGGAAAATGTGACCTTTTGACCTCTGGGGTCACAAAGAACGAAGGTGAATTTAGCAAGTTTACATTTTTATTGAAAGTGTGATTACTTTCGATCATTTTCAGCTTATTTTCACGATACGAGAATGACTGCGCATTCACTTTCATTGCAAATGAACCCATTTGACCTTTCACCCCAAATATCTCGAAAACGCCCCAACGGCGAACTGATTACCACTTGGCATCGTATTCTACGCAAAACTTTACTCTAGAAAAGTTGGGTCTGGTTTTGTGCCCATTTGATGGACCTGAACCGCCCCACGCACTGAGCCTCCAAACTATCCTAACGTTGAACAAAATAAAGTAATATGTCTGAAAATGTCAATGTATTCATTTTCCTCGAGAATATCCAGCTCGTCATCTAAATTTTGCAGATTGTATCTTTAATTGGCCGTTGTGAGAAATGTCTTGTCATTTTAAGGGTGTGTGTGTAGGGGGGGGGGGTATATCGTGTTGTTGGGTATAGTGGGGGTCCTGTGCATTTTCGTGCCATAAAATTCAAACATTAAAAAGTGTAGAATAGTCTCTATACAGTCCCATTTCAATCGCCATGTGTGTGGTTTGCTGACCACTGGTGAACCCTTTATTTTTTCAAGAAAGTTATATGATGACTCCAAGATTCCTCGGGAGTCACGGTGGATTAGTGAGTAAGACGCTGACTCACTAACCTTGAGGTCCCGTGTTCGATCCCTGCGTTGGCCGAGAAATTTCATCCAGATTTGCCGGTGTGGTTCCTCCATGTCAGTGATGCAGGACCGAGGGTCTGGGAAGTAATAACGTATAGTCGTTCGGATGTTACTAAAAACCGAGATCCCGTGTAAACATTTGCGTGCACATAAAAGATCCCTTGGCAGTTGGATATTAGTAGGTCGTAGCGCCGCTGTCCGAGCAAAACTTCCCTCATAGCGCACTGTATGGCTTATGCCCTCCTTATTAGCCAAGTCGGGGGAGAACAATAGGACGTTAAACCCCATTTCATTTCATTTCCAAGTTTTCTCCAAATTTTCAATAAAGTAGTAAATACGTGTAAGGGAGACAACTCTTATTTATTATCCCACCGATTTTAACTTTTAGTTTCAATCACGATGGTCTTATGAAAATTAACTAAAAAAAGGTGTAAACCTTCTACTTTCTTGCATCAACCGGGCTAATTATAACAGAAAAGCGTCTACGCACTTTATTCCGAGGAAATATTTTATAGTTTTAATCCCTCGACCTCTTCTAATAAATAGACTAACCCTAACCTTGATATGATAATTAGTGATAATTGTTTTGATCTTTACAAGTACCACATTACCGGACAATTAACAAATATTTTAACATATGTGATTGTGAAGTAAATGTCAGTCAGGCTAGATTATTTCTGAGTAGCAGTCAAACTTATTTTTCTTTGGTAAGTTTTTAAATTATATATATAAATATATCTATGTATTCTTTATCTTAATTTTGTTGACTGTCATTGAGTTAACTGGCCGGTTTGATTCCCTGGTTGTACGTGACAAGGATTAGAGTCGCCTGTCCAACCTCGTGGGCTTTCTCCGGGACCTCCTGCCCCCCCCCCACTGCTAAATACCTCTACGCGTCAGCTAATTATTGAAATGAAATTGAACCATGTGTTAGTCCCGATTTTGTCTATATAGTTTATGTCCAGTGGACGTTAAACCCCATTTCTCTCTCGCACTCTATGTTTTGTTTGGCCTAATCTGGAGATAGCTCCCAGCGTTGGCCGAGAAAGTTCATCCGTATTTTTCGGCTTGGTTGCCCCTTGTCAGTGGTGCAGGATGGAGGACCTGACAAGGACAGCTGTCTAGTCGTTCGAATGGGACGAAAACCCGACGTCCCGTGTACACATTGGCATGCATGTAAAGTCCGGCCCACACCGCCACGACTTGCCCAGACTCTACCCAACGCAAAGTCTTGTCTCAGATAATCAGTGCAATGTTGACAGTCCCACGACCAAGATTCAATCGATTTCTGTCGCGTCTTGGCCCGTCGGCCTGTCTGAGCATGCCCAGACGTAGTCGGATGCAGTTTGATGCAGTCGTAACCCATCGTGCTTGTGTGGACACTCGCACGACACGATCAAAAATTTGTTTTACTGTTGTTTAGCCAATCAGAGAGTAGCATTTAGTCACTTGACTGTGCAGGTCACGCGCTCCTTGTTTTCCCGGGAATATTCAAGCTGGCAGATTTTTGGACAGAGAGAGAGAGAGAGAGAGAGAGAGAGAAATGGGGTTTAACGTCCACTCGACACAAACTAGGTCATTTCGGGACTAGAACATGGTTTAATTTTATTTCAATAATTCGCTTGCGCGTAGGGGTCTTTAGCAGTGGGGGGAAACCGGAGGACCCGGAGAAAACCCACGAGGCTGGACAGGCGCCCCTACTCCTTGTCACGTACAACCGGGGATTGAAACCACGCTAGGTCATTTCGGGACTATAAGGCTCAACCAGTATAATAAGATCGCGAGATGGGAGCTGGAACAGAAAAGAAAATCCACGGGGTTAGACAGGCGATTCATGGGCAATCGAAACCATTTATTTTATTTCCTTTTATTTTCAGACTCTCTCCAGTGACCTTAACGATGGCCGCAAGTCCAGCATCTTCGTATTATGACTTCAGTGACAAACTAAACTTTTATTGGACGAGTTTAATTTTACTACTGTTTGTCTCCCTGGTTGGTGTGCTGAGATATTTTGTACTGGGGTCGTTGATCAGCTGCTGGACTCCTGTTCACTTTACTACTCAAATGGCAAAATACACACACACGATATGCTGGGAACAAGACGTGACCTACCTTCCAGGAGATGACCCAACCGTACCACACGATGAATATGGGCCAACATCTATCCCAACATTCCATACATGGATTCCAGTCGTTCTAATATGTATGATGTTGGGATTCCAGATACCACGTGCTGTCAAGTTGCTGTTTGATTCACTTTTAAGAAATTCGACCAGCACAATTAGCGATAACGACAGCCAAGCGAGTAATACAGAAAATGCTGAACAACTCGCTCAGATCATCAGAGAATCTCAGAATCAAAGCTCATTCATTAGAACTCTATCCTTCATTATTGTCAAACTTTTAATCTGTCTTAATGTTCTCGTCCAGTTTATTTTTGTCTCGCGTTATTTCCAAGATTCCGTGCACGAGGTCACGGATACGGAAAATATAACAACAACTATCACTACTGAAATTTTCCCAAAAATGGTACTTTGCGATTATCAGATACGTCAACTTTCAAACGTGAAACATTTCACCATGCAATGCAACATGCCCGTAAACTATTTATACGAACAATTTATTCACATTCTTTGGTATTGGATATTTGGAACTGGTTTTGTCACTGGCATTGTTTTCGTCGCTCAATTAGCATCACTTCTTTTCACGCCATTGGTCAGGCTTCGATTCCGTGGAATTATTCCTGAAAAAGAATTAAATCGAAGAGGCTTTTCTGTCGATGATTCTTTGTTGATGTTGTTGGACATTGAGAATAGTTCTGGTCTTACCATGGCTCGAAAAGTGGCCGCCATTTTAGTCGAATCCGAACAGTCGAGCCTGAACCACGGACCAAAGGGGTATAACTCTCAATCGGGTTTTCACGCAGGAGATAATGCATTGACCAGTATACCCATGACGAATATTGGCATAAACGCAGAGGCTGATACTAGCACCTCACCACTAAAGGACGATAGTAGGACAGAAAAGTCTGATCTACCGTAGCCGCGGTCACCCAATTGGATTTTACAGAATGTCAACGATACTTCGCTGAAGTCTTGATGGGCATAATTAAATAAAGATTTATAATCTGTAAAGCAGCGTGTTTGTTTTTGTTAAATTGCTATAATATAAACATTTTAGACACTAGAATTTGATTGAAGTGCAGATCTGAAATTTCCTCGATTCAGATTGACAGTCCAGAATTGCATCGTCTGCCAATAAGGAATACCGTCAGCTAAAACTTCTTTTTTTTTGATCGGGGGGGGGGGGGGAATGCAATGCATAGGAGGCATGGGATTCAGCATCCCACGTGTCTACACAGAATGGGTTTGTGAATTGGCATAGTATTCAGAATACCATGTGTCTAAACAGAATGGGCTAGCGAATTGGCATGGGATTCCGGATCTCACGTGTTTACACAGTCTGGATTAATAAATTGGCATGGGATTCAGAAGCCCACGTGTCTATACAGAATGGATTAATGAATTGGCATGGGATTCAGAATTCCACGTGTCTATACAGAATGGGTTAATGAATTGGCATGGGATTCAGAATACCACGTGTCTATATGGAATGGGTTAATGAATTGGCATGGGATGTAGAATACCACGTGTCTATACAGAATGGGTTAATGAATTGGCATGGGATCCAAAATACCACGTGTTTACACAGACTAGATTAATGAATTGGCATGTCTATTCAGAATGGGTTAATGAAGACGGGTTGGTGAAGGTATAAGACATGAACACAAGTCATTACATAATGGAAATAGGTAATTCCAATGTCATTCTCAAAACCCAAATGTCTTCCAACTTACAAGACAAAGTTTAAGGTCGCCACAGTACCTCGTGCCATCGAGCCTTTGTTAAAACTCCGACACCCTCCGAACAAGCGAAATATTGAAATTAAATTAAACCTTATGGTAGACCGAGTTTGTGTGGAGTGTACGTTAACGCCCCCCCCCCTCTCTCTCCCCCTCTCTCACTCTCTCTCTCTCTCGTTGGGTCGCAACGCATATAATAATGTAATCTAATTGTATATAAACTGATTTACAGTCAATTGTTTCCGTTTGGACTTATATCCAGCGAAATATGGCATGAGTCTCAACCGAATAGCAATTTCTAGCGTCTGGTTATTCCAGTCTATTGCGTATGCTCTCCAGATAAGATATGGCGTCACCGTTTGACATGAGTTGTGGAATATGTCTAGCCTCGTTCTTTCTGGTCACTTGTTACAAATGACGCTAAAACGCACTATGGTACACGATTCGTGTACCAATGGTAAAATGTTTATTTTGTTTTGAATATTGGATATCAGAAGCCCATCTTTTCCTGGTAAGATCACAACATCAGTGTTGATTTAAGCAGACAAATAATTCGTATTTTCAATGTCGAAGACTTTGGATGATATTGAGTTAGAGACTTAGCTACTTTAACATGGACACTGACTATTAGAAATTTAACCCTTCTCCATATTCCGTTATAATCTATGTATAAGTAACAGTACAGCGCATCTCAAATAATGACTTAACTTTAAATTGAGCGAATCTGAAGAGGGTGGAAATCGCCACTTAGTCAACAGCAATATAGAACAATTTAAAATTTCATAAGAATACCAGTAATCACATACGATATAGATTTAAGAGAGAGAGAGAGAGAGAGAGAGAGAGAGAGAGAGAGTTGAGGTTTAACGTCCACTCGACCCAAACTAGGTCATTTCGGGACCCGGGGAAAATCCGCGAGGTTGGACAGGCGACCCTACTCCTTGTCACGTACAAACGGGGAATCGAAACCTTATGACAGACTTCGATCCCTGCATTGGCCGAGAAAGTTCATCCTGATTTTCCGGCGTGGTTTCTCCTTGTCAGTGATGCAGGACGGAGGGCCTGACAAGGACAGCTGTCTAGTCGTTCGGATGGGACGAAAAACCGAGGTCCCTTGTACATATTGGCGTGCACGTAAAAGATCCCTTGACAATTGGAATTCGATATAAGAGTAGGCCGTAGCGCCGCTGCCCGGGCAAAATTTCCCTCATAGCACACTGCATGGCGTATGCCCGTCTTCATTAGCCCAGGTTAGGAGCAGAACAGTAAGACGTTAAACCTCATTTCATTTCATTTCATTTCTTATGACAGACATTATGATACAACGCACACGTGCTAACTATTCGGCCATTATAGATTAAAGACTGTAAGTATTATTAACATGTTTGAATGTCATTTGCATTTTGGGGATAATATATAATGTTTCAGGAGTTAATCAACGCTACAATGGACTCAGATTGATTATTTAACATTTTATTCAGAATACAATATCATAATATCAGCGGTATATAATCTCCTTAATACGATTCAATTGGATTAAAAGGGATTAAATGAAATGAAATGGGGTTTAACGTCCTACGTTTCTTCTCCGAACTGGGCTAATAAAGACCGGCATACCCCATACAGTGTACTATGAGGGAAATTTTGCTCTTATATCGAATTCCAGATGCCAATGTGTACACGGGATTTCGGCTTTTCAATCACATCCGAACGACTAGACAGCTGTCCTTGTCAGGCCCTTCGTCCGGCATCAGGATTAAAGGGGGGGGGGGGCTTTTCGGTAGAATTATAACAGGTAGCGCTATCTTGCCTTGATTTTATCCTGTATATCACCAATCTATTTCACAGAGGATTACGAGTCTTCTAATATCTCTGTAAAAGATGACGTGACGTCACATCAATCAGCGTCAATCATTGGCTCAATGGAGTGTGCATTGTTTACAGAATGGAGACTTTTATTCATTTTAATACCCATTTACACTAAATAGGAAATACTTTTTACCTACAAATACGTCAAACGTCTTTATTTATTTTTCTAATATATAAAAATATCCCTGTGAATAGTGAACATAAATAGACTGATATTCCGTTTAGAGATTCAACTTTTTCACGATGTCGTAGTTTTAAAAATCCCAGAATAAAACGGTCAGACAGATTTATATATTATTTAAGCGATTTAAATTGTCAGATCTATAGACAAGCTACGATGGCCCAGTGAGTATGGCGCTTGATCAGTAACCAAGAGGATTCGCATTCAATCCCAAGGTCGGCCGAGAAAGTATAACTAGAATTTCCAGTCTTGCAGGATGGATAGCCTGGCAAGGAAAATCCTCTAGTCTTTAAGATGGGACGAATACCCGTGAACGCAATCTCTGCATCCAGATTAAAGTTCGCCACTTTAAATAAAACCAAACTGTCTGTCTGTTTCAAAATTTTCTATAACTAGACCGAATTCACGTGGCTATGATATATTGGTTCGGGTGAACAAATAAATATCTGCTGATTACCCTGCCCGCCCTCACCCCAGGCCCAATCCCAATCGAAAACATCTGATCCTCTGAACACACAGCCGAGTTCCTTTTTGTCCTTGTAAGGTTGTCCGATCGGGCCCTCCTGAATTAAGCTTTGTGGTCCTCGGGTAAAAAATTGTAAGTCTTAATTAGATGAGTTTAACGTCTAAGATGTTTATTTTGAGCAATGTTCATTATGCTTTACATCTGCTGAAAAGTGTCACTTGTTAATGAGAGGCCAGTCGAGCATATGGTGAAAATGGAACAGTAAATGAGAGATTTTACTTGGTCTTCATTTACTTGGTTAAAGACGCAATCGTATGTTTTTCGATACTGTGTCCTTTGGTACCGTCAAGGACCATTCCTGTCGAATCCCGCTGGTGGTGCTTCTAGTAACAATATAGCAGCTTAATCAGTGGAATTCCCTTAAATGTCTTATATATATAACCGCCTTTATCTACCAAACCATGTATGGGATACATGTAATACCTATATTATATGCATCATCATTTGCATATAACACGGAGTAGCGTCGCCTGTCCAACCTCGTGGGATTTCTCTGGGTCCTCCGGTTCTCCCCCACTGCTAACGACTTCTACACACAGGTGAATTATGTATTATAAGGTCCATAATAAGGCCTGTCATTGAGTCAATTGGCGTGGTTTCGATTTCCCGGTTGTACGTGGCAAGGAGTAGGGTCGCCTTCCAATCTCGTGGGTTTTCTCCAGGTCCTCCGGTTTCCTCCTACTGCTAAAGACCTCTACGCGCAAGCAAATTATTGAAATAAAATTGAAACAAATGTTAATCCCGAAATGACATTGTTTGTGTCGAGTGGATGTTAAATCTCTCTCTCTCGCTCTCTCTCTCTCTCTCTCTCTTAATACCTTTATATATTATTAAGCCATATATGGGATACAAGTAATACTTTTATCCCCTAAGCCATATATGGGATAAACGTAATACTTTTATCCCCTAAGCCATATATGGGATAGTAGCTTTAATTTAGATTGACTAGTACACCAGACGATTTCCGGTTACGATGTCTCTTCGTCTATTTAACTATGATTGAATGAATATGTATCCGCTTTCTAGGAATGCAATACTAGGTTATATTGAATAATCACTCCATGATCAGCCGGATTTTGTCGAATCAGTATCAAACCCGTCAGATGTCCGTACATAAAACGGGGAAAACTTGCTAGATTTCTGTATTTAAAACGGGAATACAGTAGACGTATATACACTAGACGTGTTTAATGCAAAGAACGATTGATATAATCCCTTGGTTTCGTGGAAATTATTGGACGATAACAAGACATCGAACCTCGAACCAGTACAGTAGACGTATTTACAGTAGACGTGTTTAATGTGAAGAACGATTGATATAATCCCCCGGTTTCGTGGAAATTATTGGACGATAGCGAGACACCGAACCAGTAATTGTGTGGATAGGTTGGTGGTTTATCAAGAGGACTACCGTATATAACAGAATGGATGGACTGGGGTTTAACGTCCTACTTTTCTGCACCATTGTTTGTGAAGCTTATTAATTACTGTCAGTAAAATCTCGGTAGATAACTCTATGGACCTAAACGTCACAGGGCTTTGAATATATCACAGATCACACTATGGACCTAAACGTCACCGGGATTTGAATATATCACAGGAGTATATTGTTAATTGTTAACTGTCATCATCCGTCATTGATATTAATTGAAAGCAACCCTTAACTTAGATATTCAACTTTATATTTAACCTTATTTAACATGGATATTAAACGGTATTCAACTTGGATATTAAACAGTATTCAACTTGGATATTAAACAGTATTCAACTTGGATATTTAACTTGGATATTAAACAGTATTCGACTTGGAGATTTAAATTGTGTATTAAACAGTATTCAACTTGGATATTAAACAGTATTCAACTTGGAGATTCAACCGTATTCGACTTGGATATTAAACAGTATACCTCATGGAGATTTAAATTGTGTATTAAACAGTATTCAACTTGGAGATTTTACCTGGATATTTAAAGCCATGCAACCGGGATATTCAATGTATATATTTAACTTGGATATTCAACTTCATATAAACTTGGATATTTAACAATAGCCAACTTGGATATTTAACGTTATGCAAATTGGATATTTAAATTGGATACTTAACGTCATTGATGTGGATATTTAACTTGGATATTTAACAACATTCAACTTGGATAGTTAAAGCATTTTCTCTTAGTTAGTTATGTTGGATAGTTAACTTGGATATTGAATGTCATTTAACTTGGATACCGTTTAACTTGGATTTTTTAAAAAATATCATTGAGCTTGGACAATTTAACTTGGATATTTAACTTTTATATTTAACAATATTCCCCTCTTTTTGTTTCCAATAATTTCTACCATTATCAAAGAAATTTAGTTTTTAGCATGGATGAGGCGACGTCATTTTATTAGGATGTCAGCAAAATAGATAGTTCTAAAACTCGACCCAGGTAACTTTCTGGACTAACGAGAACGACCGAGATCATGAATTCGACATCAATGACAAATATCAGCTACACTGAAGAAGAAATTAACAGCTATCTGGATCAATTGTGCCATGAAGCCAGACTTAGATTCATGCCTGCTATAATATTGGTTGGTATTTTAGGATTGATTGGTTTCGTGGGTAATACACTAGTTTTAATCGTATATTATAAATCGTTTAAACCTAAAGCGTCTCGGTCGTTTATTCTTTGTGTCGCGGTTTTCGATTTGACCACCAATGTCATCGTTATTCCCAATGAAATAATAGAGATGAGCTTCAGATACAGGTATCCTACAAATGGACTGTGTGTTTTTAATAATTTTATGAGGTATACAATGGCCTATGGCGCCACGTTATCTCTCGCTTTGATATGTATTGAACGTTATAACAAAATCTGTCGACCCTTGAAACGACAAATAGAAAAAAGAACGGCTTGTAAATTGGTTATCGCGTGTGTCGCCTCGACCATCATCTTAGGCATTCCAACGATCTTTCAATATAAAGGTAATGGGGTTGAAACGGATCGTGTCGGCATTCTGGGTCGAGTTTGTGAACCTAGTGACGTGTTGAAAGACTCGATACTACCCTTTATTCATTCATTTCTTCAATTAATCACGTGCATCTTGTTTGAAATCTTCTTCATTGTTTTATATAGTTTAATAGGATTCGCTATCTACAAACAAAGAAAATTTAGGCAACAATTTCAAGTACACGGGGCAATCGATAGACCGGAAGGCATGACTCTGGAAACAGGTAGAAAGAAAGTAACAAAGAGGCATAAAACGACGTTGATGCTGATGATCATAACTGCAACGTATGTGTTGAGTTTTTTACCTGTTATAATTATAAATACAGTGGATAGCGTTCTGCAGTTTAGAAATAACCTGAACGGTGCTAAGTTCATCTCATATATTATATTCGTTCGCTTATTCTATATCAATGCCGCGGTTAATCCAATTGTCTTTGGCTTCATGGACAAGCGATTCCGCGATGGCTTGATGACTTTGTTCAAGATAAAGCACAGATAAAAGTGGATGTGCCAGGATTCGGTAATAAGCCCTGGTAGGTGGGGCTCTGTCCCCTTCTCTCCCGGGAATATGGATCATTAATGCAATCAAAAGAAATAACCGTGTCTTAGGATCTACCAGATAAATCTAGCAACTGTTGACATTAAGAGAATTAAAATAACTGGAGATAATAGTTAGTGTCATTGGGTTATATTTGGGTGTATGATCAGAGAGATAGAGAGACATGGTGTTTAACGTCCATTGGACTTACATATTTCAATAATTCGCTTGCGCGGGGGGGGGGGGGTCTTTAACAGTGGTATGGAAACGGAGGACGAATTGAAACCACACAAATTGACTCAAATGACGGACCTTGTGATCTAATGCGCACGTGTTTACCCCCCCCCCCTCAACCCTCCGCCGGGTATGAGGGGGATTACTATCTTGATATATAGTTAAGGGGTATTATTATCTTAATATTATTTGATATTATCGGGATTAAGTTATATTTTACATGTGTTATATTTTACTCGTACTATTTTATATGAGAGGCTGATAGAATCTCCCGTATTTTGGTATATCATTAAGACCACATGCGTTTATGCGATAATGAATAATACTATTTAATTAATTATCTATATTCACCAGGCTATATATAATGACATACATTTGATGTACACTGTTCCACATGGAATCCTACACTTTGTCTAGAATGGATTAAATGTTAAATTTGAATTATGTATAATATTAACATCGTACTCATAAAGAAATGAAATGAAATGAAATGGGGTTTAACGTCCTACTGTTTTGCTCCGAACTGGGCTAATGAAGACGGGCATACGCCATACAGTGTGCTATGAGGGAAATTTTGCCCGGACAGCGGCACTACGGCCTACTCTTATATCGAATTCCAACTGTCAAGGGATCTTTAACGTGCACGCCAATGTGTACACGGGACCTCGGTTTTTCGTCCCATCCGAACGACTAGACAGCTATCCTTGTCAGCCCCTCCGTCCTGCATCACTGACAAGGGAGAACCACGCCGGAAAATCAGGATGAACTTTCTCGGCCAATGCAGGGATCGAACACCCGACCTCCAGGCTAGCGAGCCAGCGCCTTACCCACTTAGCCACCGTGATCCCCTACTCATAAAGAAGTATGATGTATAGGTAAAATGCCAAGAGCTAATTTACATGTGTTATCCTCCGTGTAAAGAAAATGAAATGGGGTTTAAAGTCCTACTTTTCTGCACGGACAGGTCTAATGAAGACGGATCCATAAAAGACCGCCTTCATTAGACCTGTCGGTACAGAAAAGTAAAATGTTAACCCCCATTTCATTTCATTGGCTTTCGATATAAAGGACATTGCATGCACGTACTACAGTGTGTTAGCATTATTACACAAAGGTTGCGTATAAACATTAGTACTTTGGCTTTTTACATATAGTACGCTATCCTTATTACACAAAGTACGTTCGAGTTATTTCCTAAAGTACGTTCAAATAATACATAAAGTACGTTAGCCTTATTACGTAAGGCATATTCGAGATTTTACATAAAGTAAATTAGCAATATTACATAAAGTACGCTAGCCTTGTTACACAAAGTATGTTAGTCTTTTTACATTAGGTACGTTAGCCTTTTTACATAAAGTATTTTAGCCTTATTACATATAGTACGTTAGCCTTTTTACATAAAGTACGTTAGCCTTGTTACACAAAGTATGTTAGCCTTATTACATTAAGTACGTTAGATTTATTACATAAAGTACGTTAAACTTTTTACATAAAGTATGTTAGCCTTGTTACATTAAGCACGTTAGATTTATTACATAACGTACGTTAGCCCTACTACATAAAGCTTGTGTATAAACATTAGTTAATATTTTATGTTTATTATTAAAGTATTAATTGTTTGTATTTGATTGATTATTGTTTATTTTATATTTTTATACAACTCATGACACACGCGGTAATGAAGGTCAGCTAAAATAGTATTTCCCAGACGCTCCAATACCATGATGCGGACGGATGAACATGTTTATATATCTTCGGAAGAAACTGGGATTAAACTAACTCCAGTGAACATCCTGACTGAATCACCTGTTTTAAAGGACAGTAATATGAATGGTAGTGGTACGAGATTATAATAGCAATTACCCATAAGACTCTGATCAATTGTGGTCTGTATCTGAATATATATTAACCACTAGTAGAGTAACCTCCCTTTATACAGATAATCTGATTAAACGGGTGACGACACAATGTGTGTTCTTGGACTCTAATTTCGTTTACACTGCACCACGAATGACCAATATAAGAAACATAATTATGTACATTTAAAAAAATAATTATGTGCATATACAAAAAATAATTATGTACATATGCAAAAAAAATATCTACATATACAACAAGAGCATCGCTACCGCTGCAATATACGTCCACATTCCTCCTTTGATTGATATATGGAATATGAAATGGCTGCACTGACTATAACATGGCAAGTGGCAAAAGAAGGCTGGGCGTTGGGTTTGTTTTGCCAAATTTACAGATTAAATATTAACAAAAAGTGGATGTGACACCGGTCGGGGCATGCACCAAAATAAATAGTTGCTGTCTTTGTGGTATAAGGAATAAATATGCCAAGTTCCAAGACGATCCATTCAGAATTCCAGCCTGCAGACACAAAAACACAAAGATTGGGCGTGGCTCTCTCTGCCCCTCGGGGTTGGACATGGACCAATATAAATAGGTACAACCTTCTGATGGATTATACTGAATTGGATCTAAATATGTTAATATTTCCCACCTGTAGATTATTTACAAACGAAGTATTAACAAAAAGTGGGTGTGGCACCGCCGAAGGGGGGCGGATCATGCACCAAAATCATTAGTTGCCGTCATTAGGAAATAAGGAATAAGTATACCAAGTTCCAAGATTATCCTTTTAGAATAATTAATTGTGGCCTTCAGACGCTAAACACAAAAATTGGGTGTGACTCTGCCCCTGGTGTCAAGACATGCACCAAAATCATTTGCTGCCGCCCTTCGTCTATAAGGAATACATATGCCATGTTTGAAGGTGATCCACTCAGAATTGCGGCCAGTATACGATAAACACAAAAATTGGGTGTGGCTCTGTCCCTAGGAGTCGGGACATGCACCAGAACCAATAGTTGCCATCCTTAGGCTACAATGAATACATATACCAAGTTCCAAGGCGATCCAATAAAAATTGTGACCTGTTGGCAACAAAAAGACACAAAGAGAAAATGCGTGTGGTTAAGGCCCTGGGGTCGGACATTAACCAAAAGCAATAGGGAAAATCCTTAGGGTATAAGGAATAGGTATGGAAAGTTTCAAAATGATCTGTTAAGAATTGCAGCCTGTAGGCGACACAAAAGACAGACAAAAATTGGGCGTGACTGTGTCCCAGGCGGTCGAGCATGCACCAAAAATAATAATGGTCATCATTAGGGTACAAGGAATAAGTATGGACAAGACGATTCATTCAGAATTGCGGCATGTAGGCGACACACAGGCACACATGGGGATTGGGCATGCACCATCAAAAATAGGGGTGTTCCTTCGGGTATAAGGAATAAGTATGCTAAGTGTCAAGATAATCCGTTAAGAAATGTGTCCTAGAGATCACAAACAAACAAATACAAAAAATGGGCGTGGCTCTGACCTAGGGGTCGGGCATGTACCAAAAACAATAGGGATCATCCTTACGGTATACGGAATAAGTATATGAAGTTTCAAGACAATCCACAGATACACAAACATCCACCCACACACAGTTGCGACGGCATAATACGTCCACATTATGAATGCGAGAGAGAGAGAGAGAGAAATGGGATTTAACGCCCACTCGACACAGACTAGGTCATTTTGGGACTAACATATGGTTTAATTTTATTTCAATAACTCGCTTGCTCGTAGGGATCTTTAGCTGTGGGAGAAAACCGGAGGACCCGAAGAACCCCCACGAGGTTAGACCGGCGACCCTATTCCTTGTCACGTACAACCGATGATTCGAAAACCTGCCAGATGACTCAATGACAGGCCTTATGATACAGCGCGCACGTGCTAACCATTCGACCCCCCCCCCCCCTTATGAATGCGAACGTATAAAAAGTAATTGCGCAATAAATGACCAAATCCCATATTTACATTGTATGTCGAACCATACATAGTTAAATACAGCTTTGGATGGGCTGTAATAATAAAATAAAACCAATAAAATCAAGTCAATATGACGCCCATAAAACTTTTTAAAGGTTTTAATAAGTTTAGTTCGCAAGTATCCCTGTAGTTGAAGCTTAGATGACAAATGCCTCGATCTACTTAAAAAATCAGAATAAAATGAACAAGCTCTCGCGAAACGGTTTAGTTGAGACACAAACACTCCATAAGCTGGTGATATTGGAATGTTACTACTAATAAATGGAAAGTTAACAATCGGAAAGTCAAAGTCATCACGCTTATCGTACAATTTGACACTAAGTTTATGGCAATTGTCAAAATCGAGACGCAGATCCAAGTAGGAAGCGTAATTGTCACTGTCAGTAGTGTTTTGAATTTCGAGCTCATCAGGATATATGAATTCTACATAATCACTAAATTTTGGATTATTCAGTGATAGGACATCATCGATATATCGATAAGTGAAATTAAAATGTCTGACTAATCGTTTATTTGATTTTACAAGTGCCTGTATGTAATCGGCCTCGTAGGAATAGAGAAACAAATCAGCAAGCAAAGGTGCACAGTTGGTGCCCATGGGGATACCGACCACTTGCTGATAAATTTCCCCTCCAAATTCAACAAAGATATTATCAATTAAAAAATCCAACATCTGAATTATCTTGTTGGCGGTGAATTTATTTTTGGAATCACTATGGTTCTTAACAAAATATGTGGAGTTTTAATTAACAACTAAATATTGATATCTAACATTTCCCGATTTAGATGAAAAGACACTTTGAATAATGTCTTTTAACCGGGCTTTTAATTTACTATATGAACAAATGAACATCTTTTTTCTGAAAGTTTATCATCAAATTATGCACAAAATTATACAGCTTAAAACATCGGTTGAGAAGTGTTCGGTTACATTATCTCGAGCGCTCGACTTAGTATCATAAAATTATGCAAAAAATTATACAGCTTAAAACATCGGTTGAGACGTGTTCGGTTACATTATCTCGAGCGCTCGACTTAACTATCTCGAGCGCTCGACTTAACTATCTCGAGCGCTCGAGATATTATTTTTGTTTTGCGTGTCCTAAATCAGCTACCGTATCCGGGTCTCTCTATTTATGAAATTAATTTCACTAGTATCTGCCGATGGAATCTCGTCCGCTATCCCTGGAAAAAATGGGGTGTCAAGAAAATCGTCGTGTGCTTTTGCCAATTTTTTGGACTTAGCCTTACTTTTACCCAGCTGCCTAGTCTTTGTCTTCAGTCTGACCAGTCTATTTTAAATGTGTTTTTCACCAAACGTCTCACAATCGTCATGTAAAGCAGTTATGATAGACCGATGCTCCGTAGTATAAGCCTATTTGTGATTTTTCCCATGGGTAGTTTGGTTACAGTGCTCAAATCATAGGGGTACTTGTCCAATCCAATGCTGGATAGCAATTCATCGGTGGACGCCATCTTGCAGGGCTCAGTCTCAGAACTAAGTCCGTCAATCTAGGCCTAAGTCTGCACTATAATTAAATAAGATACTATGATTATGAAAATGATTTACACCAA